TGGGAGCCACTAAGAGAGTTTCTCACAAGGAAAGCGGCTGAAGACTTCGAGAAAGCTGGAAGGCACTCCAACGAAGAGCTACGAAATCTTGTAAATTACACACTTGAAGATCTGGGACCCAGGAAAAAAAGGCCCAGACACCAACTAGCCCAATAGGGCAACAGGTAGCAAACGGCGTAAGCTGTAAGTGAGGTTATGTAGAGATAGTAGCTGTGGATAGTAGTAATCACAGATGTACTCTGTAATCTGTGGTAGCAATTAGCATGCACATAGAAGTAAGGTGTAAATTAATAAGATGCCCATGCTAGCGAGCAGCTATCATGGAGAGAATGCGATGCTATGGCATACGGATGCCGGAGCTGACAAATTCTTAGAGAGGACTACAAGTTTTAAAGGATAACTCCCGAAAACTCGTAGTACCAAAAAAGGGGGTTTTTTAGTTGGTAAGAATCCAACACTACCCAGGGTTCGAAACACTGGGTGTCTTCCCGAAGATTTTTATTCCTCCAGCCGCCGAACAAACAAAAAAATTCTTTGAAATGCAAAATTGTTTTTGATTATTATTTGATTCTGGAGCAGAGTAGCAGAGATTAAATTAATATTAGACCAGAGACAAGTGTCTCTGATTAGACAGTTAATTATTAATTCAAAGGAAAGGGGGGTGCAATCCCAAATTCCTGGGGATTTATTGATGAGTATTGGCAGTCCGCCAGGGTGCCCCGTAAGCACATGATCAAAAGGGTGCTTCGATATGGTTTGGATTAAACGAAGACGATTTGACCTAATTTTTGTTAACAAAAAATATATGGCGCCTCTGCTATTGATGGTCAAAGTTCTTCAAAAAAAATATCTTTTTTGAAATATCGTGAGGATGGTGCGATGTATTTTGGTAAAACTCGCTGTAAACTTGTTCTTATGTAAGACTCATATTTTAATGAAACATTCGAGTTCATCCGTGGCACAAAAACTACCAGAACTTTTTATTTGCTGGATAAAATCAACTCATTTTTTTTTATTGACGCACTAATCATTTATTCACAATTTTGTGCTCTTTTTAAAATCTTCTATCATTCATAGTTTTTGAGTTTTTGCGAAAAGAAATATTTCTGTTTTCTTGCCACTTAACAATGTTAGACATTAACTGCAAATATCGTGATACGACGCATAAATTAATTGTCACTCAATGTCACAAATTCGTTTCGAATGACTTTTTCTAATTAAGAAGTGACCGACATGGTCAAAGTTTTAGGGTTTTGCCAAGACAACTTGCGTTTACGCGTCGCATATTTGCGGTTAATGTCTAACATTGTTAAGTAGCAAAAAAACAGAAATATTTTTTTCGCAAAAACTATGAATGCTACAAGATTTTGCAAAGAGCACTTTCCAAAATTAGATCATAATTTGAAACTAATAATAACCATGTACGTAAATTCAAGTCGTTTTATTCTTAGGAACCAACAGGAACTAAGAATTCTAGAAGCAGGTAACCAATTATTACGACATTTCAGGTTCATACTTTCGTAAGCGTAATACCAAATGATTAATGATGGTTTGCTGCGACTTGATAAGCTCGTGAAGATTTTGTTTTTCTGTAACCTCCAGATTTATTCTTGCTTTTTCCAAATCACTTTTGTCTCGTCGCTCTAATAACTCGACCTCTACTCTCTTTTCTTCAAGAACAAGTTTTCTTTCTTGAATTTTTAGCCTCCTATCCTCTAAATCTATTTGCTTTAATTTAATTTTTTGTTCTCTGTCTGATTTCTCCTTTAAATAATCATTTGCATTTTTCCTTGCAGATTTAATGACATTTGTTCTTTTCCTATTTGCAGCTAAAAATAGAGAACGAGTTGTGTTAACTTACTATATACTTGAAACATGGAATTAAGAAATACCTACTTACTCATTATTCTTTTAACTGGTGTATTTATTAACGGTTTTTTTGCTGGGTCAACTTCTCCATCATCACTTTGAAGAAGAATTTCGTCCTCTTGTTGCATATTAATGGCTAAAATTGACCCTTCAAATGCTGTGCCCTTAAGATCACTCATGGATACGTCGACAGCCTTAAAATTGTCTGATAAAATTACATATGTTTTAATTATAGGTCATATTTCAAATTTATCATCAAAATCTATAAGAGTATTTGTAGCATTTACACTTACCATCCTCATTGTCTGTAAGTTGCCTTATTTCGTATTCGTTCGAATACAAAATTTGGGTGTTAGCCAGTGAATCATCATTTGCAGTTGATTCTGGCTCCGCTTTTATTAATTGCAATATTTGCATTTCTTTGGATATTGGTTTTTTCTTATTTAAAAATTGTGTGGCCCTACACAAATTTCGAACTTCTTGGAGTAGAGTGTCCCTCTCGCAATAAGGTTCTATTCCAGACCTATGGTAAATATTAAAAATAAATGATAAACATAAATAAAAAAACAAATAAACTCCTAGTTATTTATGACCACGTAATTACACATAACAAAGGGACATTTAGGCAAAATGTCCTTGTCCTCTCCTTATACGAAAATTAAATTGTAAAAATCAAAACCGTTTGTGAGTGATGATCCAACGGTAATCGGATTATTTTAAAACATGATAGCTGTTTGTAATCAAAATACGTATACGAAAATACTTCAGTGCCATTTATTCTGGACAAATAGCCTTTACTAGTCACTACCTACTTACGTTTTTTGATGTGCATTGTCTTTTTTCACAAAGCCTTCCAGTAACAGAAACAAATGGCTTTTCAGGGTTTTTATTAAAAAGCACTTTCCAGTCTGCTGTTCTAATCGCTTTTGAATAACTTCCCATCTTTCTGGCTTGTTTGTCGGATTTTCACACAAAAATTCTCTAATTAATGCTAAATCATCGTCGTATGTAAACCGCAGTCTTTTATTTATTTTCTCCATGACAAAATCTATAAGTCAACAAAAATAAGTCCACAAATCACGTGTTACTGCAAAACTTGTTTGAGAAGTCGTGGATTCAAGATAGTGTTACGGAAACAGCCTATTAAGAAAAATAAGAATCAAATTGCGCCAAGCCCTAAAAGTTCACAGATCACACGTCTTGTTAACATATGCACATGCGCATTTGATGTTTAGTAAGACCTGCCATTAATATTAATAAAAATAAGGTTTGTACCTGCCGTTATTTGTGCACTATTTACGCTTGCTATAATTTCATTCTTATTTCATTTCGGTTGGTTCCGTGACACCTTAGTGTATCCATGAGTTCTCAAACATATGAGTAATCCCATAATCTATTTATTAAGCACTTTTAAAATAAAATTATGTCCAAGATATAATAATACTTTTAAGTGATTCATTTAACACTGATACAGAAATACTAGATAGTCTAAACACACACTATAGGTTACAAATCAAAATGAAATCTCAATAACCCCTTGCTTTGCCAGCTCGCATAACACTGTTATGATAGGAAAATAATGTCTGGCATTAATTCATTTACACCTTGCAATTATTAGTGAACGGGCACTAAACAAGTTTTTCCAAATCTCTCTAATATTGGCACGCATAAACTCTGTAGCATAAACCTTATAAGGGGCAGGCGTTACTAAAAATCTAATGCGCACCTGCAGAATGATGTCAATATAGCGGCGGCACTATTAGTGGCAAAGTTGTAACGTTTGTTCAATAACTTGCAGGAATCAATATGTAAAAGGGAACATCGTTTTCACCCCACTTTCACCCTGGACTTCGATGGAAACTGTGCATATACGTTTTTAAAGTACTATTTAACGTCGAACTCCACCTGCAAACCTGCAACCCACAATACATAGCCAATCAGCTTATTTCAAACATAAATAGCAAGAACTTGGCAACGTCGATACGGTTCATTCACTTTCTTCTTCTCCTTTATCTATGGCATCACGCCTCAATTCTAGTTGATTATAACAGAGACAAGTACTTGTCTCTGATTATAACCCAATTTAGTGCTTTTGCAGTGCTTCATCGCTGTAGGCAGTTGTTTTGCTTGTCTCAGAGACATTATTGGTAATGGTATTTTGAGGAGTTTTATTCAGCTTTTAGCGACATGGATGCTACAGTGAACGACTTTTTTAAGGAAATAAAAGAGCTGGTAACCAAGAGTGAACCGAAGGTCCAGGAGGAAGGTAAAGATCAAAGTTAAGCTTCAAATGAACATTCACAGAGATCGTTATTTTTCACTTGTACACGTTGCTGGTCAATTTCCAGTGGAACCAGACTGGAATAAAACTAATAACCCAGATATTATATCTAAATATTTTTCATTTTATTTAGATTTACGTATATTTAATTACATTTGTTCTGTACTTATCTATCTATTAAAAAGTTCTCTATTTACTATTAACACATCTTCACCTGAAAATGCTTATAAGACTTTGTTATTTTTAGTATGGCATGAATGCTTTGATGAATTAACTGGTTACTCCTATTTCTGGAACACCCAAACAGATGAAGTGACTTGGGTGCCTCCCAAGTCCTATAAACGAGCAGAAAACAACCCAAAGAAAAATACTACAAAAGCAGTAGTAGAAAAAGATAAGAAGAAGGTTGAACTGTTTGTACCTCCAACAACAGGAAATGTTCCTCAATGTTCAATGCCTGAAGCAAAGGTCTACTCCATACAAGATACAATGAAGGAATCTGAGCCAGTTAAAAAACAACCTATCGGACGGAAGCACACTGCAAAAAAGCCTGTGCTTAAAAGGCCATTTAGGAAATCTGAAGATTCTGATGACGAGTAAGTGATATAATTGATTCTTACTAATCCCGACACACAGTTTTATACAGTTTCAAACAAATTAATTTAGTACATTCCCTATAATTGATTGAACTATTTTTCAATATTTTTTTACAAGCAATGGTTTTATAACGCGAGAATCGAAACGAGTGAGTGTTAAACCAACAAGATATTGTTTTCTAATAAAAATTTAAAAATTGATCAGAAAATAGTTTTCTCCTTGAAGGGTAGAAGATGGTTTTTTTACGCAAACATTGGGTGGACTTGAAGGGAATGGGAACACTTTTTATTTCTAGTGGGATTTTTTTTTTCTTTTTTTTTCCGGTGAGGTTTGGGAAATGCTCTTTTATGCACTCCCAGAGCTGGTGGTCTGTCGCTCTGGGTTGTGTGGGACCCAAGCTAAGCTGTTTACCCCCAAGCTAAGCTGTTTACCTTCACTAAAACCCTTTCCTCACCGCCGAGGTGGTGTTTGGCCTTGCACCGCGGTCATTTCTGCCCTATTGTGCCCTCGTATTTTACTCCCTCATTATCCCTGTGTATTCAATGAATTCCAGAAGAATTCTAGTGGGTTTACCCAAGTGTATAAATATTACCCTAATTAAAACTAATAAATTAAATTACTGAATCGCAAATGTTTTTGAGTAAAAAAGACACTAAGTGTTTGCTATTGGGATAGACCGTTTATAAGGAAATTTAGCTTTTATACACATATACATGGTAACCTCCTGTACAAGCTTATTTATTAAATATTAGCGTATCCAGTGATAGGAAAACAAGCGCCTAAACTCAAAGGGTTCTTGAGATGTGACCAGAAAGCGGGATCATGTTTAAGCAGATGGCTCAATTTTGCCAAAATCGTGTACAACAAAAGTTTATGTGTAAAATTTGAGTTTTGTGAGAACATTGTGAATATTTTCCAATCGATGTTTCATCTGAGAAATGTGCTCTTTAATTATATTTCCGAGGTATCGAAATGGCTGACACTGGCAAAAGTTGTTACCGAGATATGAGCAAAAAGTGAAACGAGCGGTGTAGCTCTAATGATGCTTGATATGAAACCGCGTAAAATGAAAAATTATTTTGGAATTTCGCTTTTCGTGTGCACTGTCTTGTTTTTTCTAGCGATATTTCATCCGATAAATGTGCTTTTTGATTATTTAGCCAGTCGGGTTTAAATAAGCGCAAAGGCATAATTTATTCCTCAGGTATGAACAAAAAAGGGCCTTAGTACTTGAAATGATGACCTTATCCTGTATCTACTTAACTTTGTAATATTCAAAAATATTGAAAACTGTTGGGTGAGGTGTTTGGGCTAATCAGTCAATCGGTGACGGCAGAAAGAACCATTATTTATTTAACCCGAATTGCAGCCAATATTATATATGGATTATACAAGGAAAATGTTTTTTTCCCGCTATCTATTGAGTGATTAACCCAAACACCCAAAGCAACATTGTTCAGCAGTTAGCATCACGGTCACCAACAACCTACAACATTTAAAATTATATATTCTTGTTGAAATGCCACTATTTTTCAACTCAAGTTTCACTTGTTTATCAGGATTTTACATCCACTGACCAGCAATATGTCAACGAGCGCTACAACTAATGTTTCACTTGGTAAATGTTTTATTACTTCTCTATATAGTGGCATAGAAATGAGCGCGCTAGGATTGAACCATGCGTTAGGATTGATATACTGGACATATTTTGTAACGTTTTAGCTTAACGTTATTGAACGAAAGAAACAAAATTCTCTATAGTTTTTCTGTTTTGCGTTTTTGTCGAATTCCTCAAAGCTATTTACTTTTATTAATTAAAACCGTCGGTCACTGTAGATATATATATTTGTGATTTTCAGAAAAATTGAATTGATTACGGAGTATGCAGCAAATAGTGATTCAGATAATGACGATAAAAATAGTCAGCCTCCTTTGGATCAAAATAAATCCACAGAATCCCCATTAACGTTATCCTTATTGGGGAAGGATTCGATATTGTTAGACCAAAATCCAAAAAGTAGTACATCAGTTGTGGTAAGCTATGTCGATTAAAAGTTTTTTTTAATGAAATTTAGTTTCAATCTCGTTTAAAATCGACTCTTTATACTCCTAATGATGAAAAAAACGTGCTGAAAGTGCTATTTATATATGCACTAGTGATACATAAGTTTTCAACCTGAAGGAGTCGTAAACTATGTAATGATGATATAACTGCTAGAGTTCTCCCAGCGCTTGGTTGAGAATTCGCAGCGTCTGAACACAATCTTAGCAATAAAGTGGATAATTATTTTAAGTGTATTCGCTAATCATAATATTTTCAATATGTAATATCACATGTGTATCACAATTTGTTTAAGATAAAAAGTTAATGCTATTTGAATAATTATTTCTATATTACAAAATTGTATTAACACCAGCGTGAACTTTTAATGTTATTTAAAAGTAAATGTGTACCTACAATTACTATATTTCTAACACAAAACGTTTTTTTTAAGCCAAAGCAAAGCGATTCCCAGACTGACGAAGAAGACGATGATGATGATTTGGATATCCTTGCGAAAATCCAGCAAAGGGCGCAGGAATTGAAAAAAATGGGCGGTGAAGTGCCATCCAGTGTTAAACAAATAATAAAGAAGACGGAAATAATTGAAACTCCTAAAAAACCTTCTGTTTCCGGATTTTCTTTAGTAGCTGGCAAGTATTTAAACCTTTCGTATTATAGTGCTTATTTAAACATTAAGTTATTACTAAATTCAAAATTTTCCGCACACTCTCAGGCTACAATAGTGATTCCGAAAGCGAGCCAGAATTACAAGAAGCTCCCCCCATTAGGCCTATATTTCCTGTGGCATGTCTACCTATAAGTCCGATCGTGGAAACCTCACATAGTACACTATTTCCCATAACAAAGCCCATCGACGTGAAAGATTTTATCAGTTACGAGCCACCAGCAAATGAAGTAGCGAAAGAAGCGAAAACAAATAAAGTGGAAAGTAGCGATTTTGATAGCAAGGCCTTTCAAAGAAAGCGGCGAATTGGAATATCGTTGGTAAATAATGTCAAACGACCAAAAGAAGATGTTATTCCTGGAACTGATTTTGTTGGTTTGGGCTTCAAATCTGAAATCGTGGATAATGGCTATATTAAAACCACTAATGAAGATGCACCCGTTGCATATCCAGGTTTTCAAAAAGGGGGAGTGATGTTTGTTAAGTCGGATGTTTTAAATTCTACGGTTAGCCAGGAAAAAGGTCCAACGAAAGAAACAGATCATTGCCTTTTAAACAAGAAGCAAGCAGAAGATGACTACACTATTCTCCGCGAAAAGTTGTTGTTTTTAGGGGAAGGACGAGATGTTGTTTTACCCGTTCAAGTTATGATTATTCAGGCAGAGGTAATTTAATAAATGTTATTCATTGTTAATCTATGCAAAACTCCGGTTAAATCTGTTTTAGACTCTATTTCAAGCAATGAAGGAGGGAGGTTTAAATATTTCATACTTGCGTAAATGGTTAAGCGAGACCTGCTCTGACCTAGTGAATTTAGAAAAAGAAGCAGCTCCGGAAGGGTGGCTTTTGCAGTGGGATAGGTATGAACCTTATCATTATAGACAAGTAGTCCTCGAACTATATCCATCCTAACAGGCCACTCCTTTCATGTAATACTTCCCTAATTACTGCTATCCGATTAAAAATGACCCACTCTAGACAATTATTAACTTAAATCTGGATGGAAACGGGGGACTAGTGCGGCTGTGAAGGTAAGCTTTGAGCAACATATTATATTTATTATGTTTAGCGATAATCGATTTAGTCTTCAATTGCTTTTCTAAGACAGCAGATAAAATAGATACTGTGATAATGTGGTGGTTTATATATTCATCACTTGAGTATTTTGAAAACAACATTGAAGGCAGTAAAGAATCAAATTAGTTAACATTGGATAGCTTGTTCAGGAAGTGCTATCGAGCTAAGGATGCTGAAATAGTAACTTCAACTAAAGTAATTCTAATTAATTTTTGTATGCAATGAACACAATATTTTATCCAATGGATTTCAATATTACTGCATTTTTTCTACCGAGATGATGATACAATATAGAAAACATTTGTAGTATTTTCAAAAATCTGCCATTCCCATCTTTTAAGTCTAAAAATGGAAAATAAATATCTCTTAGAAATCCCTTGTTTGTCGTTATTGATTTTTGTTGTACTTTCATTTATTTAGTCGTTTTTTATTATCTCACGTAGTTATGTTGTTAAAAACTTGTTTCCTATTAATATGTAAAAAATGGATAAATCTATTTTATGTTGAGTTTTTGTTGATAACCACACTAGACATCTGTTGAAGTAATTTCAAATTATGTTTTTGAAGCAAATATGCTTATCCTGATATCTATTAATGCCCTGCATAATAGCTACGACATTCGACCTAAATGTGAAAGAAATACTTTTACTTTTTTAGCGGAAGAAAGAAAAATGTTGGGAGCTTGAGCCACATTTTCACAACTAATTGGGGACACGGGGTTTCTATAAAAAAATACCTAAATGTTTTCAGACATTTTACAGAAACTTACAGTATTAATAACCAAAGGCGAGCTCATGTAGGGAATGATGATGCTGCATCAACATGTTGAGAGTCTTAAGTTATATGATCCCGATTGCCAGTTTACAACATTGTATTTATCTAGATTATGAAGAAGCATGTGCTACTGTTATGGTACCAATGAGTACTTATGCCTGTGCATAAGTTAACAAAAAATAAACAAAAATAAATATCGTGCCCAACAATTGTAAATTTTGTACACATTTTAACAAGATTTGTTTCTGTTTGTCATGTTTTAATGGGTGTTTTGGTTTAAAAACATAGCGTATAATTTAGTTGAACAATATCAACTAGGCAATGTCACATGCACTCTATTTGAATTAGTGTTTTGTCCTCTTTAGATTTTTGCTCGCAATTTTCGGACATCTTGTGGATGACGACCAACTACATTTTTATAAGGATATTATATTAAAAAGTATAATTTTAAGGAAAAAATCACCCATCAAAATGATTATTAAATCATTGATTCTTAACACTCTGTGTTATTATATCAAAATGAGTCCGCTTCTGATTCGGTTAATATTATAATTTTTATTCAGACTGGCTTTTCAAAGATAAAATATTCAGCAAATGTGTCTTTAATGCCCAAAACTCCTTACAGGGAGTTAATGTATTTTTGAAGAAACATTAAGCGCTGTAAGAGTTAATTAAGTACACCACTTATAACCATATTTATAAACCGATATTGAAGGTTTGTACCCTAATATTATTAATTTAATTTAAATAATTAATAGATCCATAGTTGATTGTGACTAACCGAACGATTTTTATTTAGGTTAAGATGCCACCTAGAATATTCGAGAACGTCCTGGATCACCACTGCCATGGAGGATATTAAAAACATGCATTTTTATTTCGTAACATTTGTTCTATATTTAGCACAATGATTTCTTTATTATGATGCATTGAGAAAAGGTAGAGTATAAGGAAAAATTTGCCCGAGGAAATAATTTTTCCTTGAATGGTTTAATATATTTCAGTTAAACACGGTGTTTTCCATAATACCAGGAATTGCGTATGCTCTTCATATGTCCTGTTTTCAAGTTCGAAATCGTATTTTTCATCATATTTTTCGATGCTATTATTTACTACTAGACACCATTTTCTTGATCTATTGCAATAATTGCTAGAAGCAAACTTTGAAGTTTTGGCTATAAAATTTTTTGAGAAAAGTGTAGAAACCCGGCTGCTATTAGACGCTATTGGAAGTGTAAAAAATCCACTTTAAAACTTACTTGATTGTATCGCGTATTTTCTACTCTTACTCTATAAACACGGTTGGCTAGAAAAATATTCCATCTGCACTCAGTTTCAAAAACAGTGACGCACCTGGTTTTTTGGTAAAGTTTGCGGTATACAGTTTTCAAACTATACTAATTAATTGATTTTGAAGCTTAATTTTCTGGATGTTATCACAATGGTAAGAAATGTTTTTTTTAAACGATATGACGATTGAAACACCCTGTGCGTTACTGTTTCACTTGAAGCTTAAATTTTGAAATCGCGTCTTTTTGTGGACATTGCTTTGTGGACATCATTGCTTTATTTTCCAAATTAGCAAAATTGCAACATATTTAATAATGTGGTTTTAACAAATTGTCGTTAAAACAAAAAATAAAAACACGATATAATAGAGGAATGTAATAAACTTGGTATTTTGTATTGTCGCTTTTAGCGGCTCTCACAAAACTACTATGCCTTGCCGACCCGAAACTAAAAAATAAAATCTAAATTGGTTAATTGCTATAAAAGAGAATACTTTGAACTTTTCCAAAAAATCTGGGTGTCTTTTCTCTTGGAACCGGGTGTATATTTATTTGAGTTACTAATGTAGAAGATATTTCAAGCTTGGAAGAGAGTCAGTTATGAGCTTATCAAATCCTCGTTATCCACGATAACAATTGTTACACATTTCACTCTACAACTGAACCATTTCTCCTCTATCACAGTTCTTTCAATTGCCATTTTAGATCGCACAAACGGTATTTCTACCAAAATCAAACAACGGGTGTGAACCAGTGGCGATATCCTGAGCCGGATGTAACAAGGTGCGATGACGCGATGGATATATCAACTACACCACCTCCCATGGATGTAAAAGATGAACCGGCAGTATTTGGACCTTCATTGCCATCAGATCCTCCACTTCCTCCTACTCCGCCTAAGATTAGAAGCCCTACGCCGCCACCGCCACCCAAGATTACTATGGCAACTACTACCATCGATGTACCAATTCTTCCGGGTAAAACATTTACTTTTACTAATATTTTGGGGCGTTTTTTTTTTCAAGAACAATCGATTACAACAAAGTGCTGCTTTCTAATGCTTTCTTGCATCATTTAGTTTGAACACAATATTTTCTTTCAAAGCAACAATTATCCAAATTTGATGGGTTTTATACATTCAGCCAACGCAATAGTTTTATGTTCTTCTATCTCAAAATAAAATGAAGAAATAACTTGTGGGAACATGTTACGTGTTGCTTTGATCTTTTCTACCTATCTGTGTATCTATATGTCTCAACATACATTTGCTCTCACAAGAAACTTAATTTTATTCTAGTGATTTTATATAACATTTTCAGCCCAATCGCAGGCCTCTGAAGTGATAATTCTTCATCCAATTTTACCCGGCTTTGATATTGGGCAACCTCTTCCGCCAGGTGTTGACCTAATAACAAGTGTATCCAATAAAAATCTAGAGGTGAGTTTGAGTCGCTTATTTCAATTAATTAGACAGGTGCTATTTAAAAGTTGAAAGTTGTAATATACGTTATTAGCTCGTCTAAAGGAATTACTTTCAAAGTTGCTCTTTTGCTCGGTGTCTACTAATAATTTTTTCTTTTGCGATTTATAGGAAGTGTCCCAAAAACCGACTGATACTCTAATTACAGCTCTCGATTCGTTTTACTCAGAAATAGCCGAGGTGTCTGAAAATACCAATTCTTTATCACCGGTATCCGCACAAATACCGGAAACGCCTATTGAAACGTCTATCGATGTAGCAAATCCGCAACATAATTCCGAACCAATCCGGAAGAAGAAGAAAAAGGTAAGTCGCACAGTTTCAATGATCATAAACTTACTCTAAAACAAAGGCTGGAAGCCTTTACGTTCGGTATTTTTCATTTGTAAGATAAAATTCTGGATGTGGAAGTATGTGGTTGAATTGCTATTTCCACCTTTCCGCCTATCGTAGTTGCAAATATGGCTAAACAGAACGCACGGGTGGAAAGTCTTGCATAAAATCCTCTTCTTACATCCACTGTTCATTCAAAAACATCTCATTTTAACAGTAAGGACGGAAACTATAATTTTCTTACTTTTTTAAATAATGCAATCTTTTTAGTTGAATTTGCCCTGTTCTAGGCGATTAAAATATTCTCATAATTTAGTCTGAATCGTATTATTTTCTTGATTAGTTTAATATGCGTACACTTCGGTTTTTGAATGTTTCCGCAGACGAGCAATTATTGCACGAGGGGATAATGTTAAACATTTAAGGCAACAAGACGCCACAGGTTGCTGACGCCATCTTTGCGAATAATTGCTGCAAATATAGGCGAAACGTCAGGTGGAAATACCAATAATCACGACTTTAGATCTTGTTGAACTGCTCACTTGCTTCTTTTCTGCTTGCATATAATTTTTTTTTCATTTATTTCAAAGTATTATTTTGACCTAACATTAAAGAAGTGGCGTTTATTTTTTCAAACTCGACACCGTAAATATCGATCTAATTTCTTACTGCAACCAAAAAACGCATCCGCTTTCGATGTATCCGCAGTTTGAATTGACAATGCTTAATTCTGATTTATGTTCTTCCTTCTTCTTTTGGGCTTCATCTGCAGCAATTCTAATGGATTATTGTTGTTTAGGTCAAATTAGCACAAGGTTTAACAATGAAGAAAAAGGGAGTTTCTCAACTGGTAGAAAAATGGAAAAATGTACAGAAAAGTTATGGAGATTGAAATAAATATTGCATAGGATTTCAATTTAGCTTTATTTTGAAGTCTTCCCGTTATTCCTACTACTCATTATTTTGACGCAACACTTAATTATCAAGCACTTGATTGAGTTGTAGAGCTAAAATAAGACTCCTTATATCAACAGTCAGTAATTCATCGTAGAGTTTAAAAATAACTGACCAAATCTAGTTATACAGGAAGACCTAGGTTTTGGTGCTGTGCGAGTTTTAGATTATTTCCGCTGTTCTCTGTTTTTTCTATATATTTAAATTTCTATATATTTAAAATTGAGTTTACAAATATTCACTGTTACAATCCAATTCTCAGAAACTACTTCGCTTAGCAAACTTCAAACGATATTAGTCCTTCGTTTGCGCAAATTAATCAGGACGAAAACTAAGTATTAGGAATTTCAATTAGCAATATAGTTGTGGAAAACAAAGGGAACGATGGCTTTTCTTGATAGGATTAGCTCTGTCTTATTAACTAGCTACAAAATACCTCTTAGAACTCCGTGCGTGATTTCTAATTTCCATGCCATTAGCGAAGTTGATGGCTTTCTAACGTAATCTTGAAGGGTGTGTAGTATATGCGTGTATAAGGGTCAAACTAAAGGGAGTCTTATTTCGGCATATCAAGGGAGCCCCACGTTGGATTCCCTTCTTCAAATGCGAATTATTAATATAACAATAAACTAATCTTTGACCTAACTTAATTGTTGTAACGTGAAGAATTTTAGTGAAAAAGCCAGCGAAAGGAAACAATTCCTAATTTTATCATTTTATCGGCAATTTATACAACCTTCGATTATACTTTCAACGAGAAAAGTTGGCTTACATGCCAACAGCAAACATATATTTTACTCAAATATTCGAGCATCATTCTCATTCCATTTAAATGCACAGAAAGTCTTTCTTTGATATCAGTCTCGATTTACTATCACACACAGAATAAGGGGATATGCGTTCAAGGGAAATCTAGTTATTTTATTATTTTCGATTCAGCGAACCTCAAAATCCTTGTCAAATGTTTTCCAAGCAGGTGAAATGAAAAACGAAGACTGATATCTGGTTACTTAGACGACTACTTTGATATCCATGGGCAAAACTGAACTTTTAAAATTATTAGAAAGCATCTTTAGTTAGGCTTTGTCCATTGTGCTTCAAAAAACATCTAAGGATTGATATGCAAGCGTTTTGCTATCAAATTACAGGGTATAAATAATTGAGATTTTTTCTATATAACTCTTGCATTGGAATTTTTTTTTAAATTTAGAGTACTTTTAAGGGTCTACACCAATACCCGGAGAAATAGTTTTGATAATTTACAAAGTGATAGCTTTTCTGGGGTAAAGATGATATTTTTCTTTAAACTGTTTCTAACGAGGCATTGACTGTTTCCAAGGAAAAAATTAATTTCCAGTTCAATTTCGAAATATTTTTCCCTTATATATTTTTGTTCATCTGCAACGGTTCTTGAGTAAAAAGTTAAATTTCAATTTCTTCTCAAAAATAAATATGTAAATTCCAAGTGTAAGCATTAAGATCCCAATTAAGAAAAATGATGATAAAAAATTAATAATGAAATAATAAAAAATGAAATAGAAATCCAGAAACATGATGTTTTAGTGCATTTTTCAATGAAATTATAGCTAGATTTGCATCTTATTCCTTTCAGTTTAGTTTTGTTTAAATTTCGAGTTTGTATACTTTTCATCTACCATGTTCTTGCAAAGCATTTCGAGTTAAATTTGCAAATGGAAATATGTAAGCAACCGTTTCAGCAGGCGGTTTTCAGAGGGTCGAAATCCGAAATGGAAAGCCGGTAATAACGATGTGCACTTAGGAAACTACCCAAACTTATGTAGTTCCTTATGATTTACTTGGGAGCTAATCTATTATTTATCAAAGCTTTGCGTGTCGCGATAAATGCGGAATTACGCACACTTGCTTAATTTCCGCGTGAATTATTCATTTCGGTGTTCGGGCCTGGTTATGTGGGCTGGAATATGCTCTTATAAGAAGATTTAAGTCGTAAAGGTGATTTGTTTTTGCGGAAATATGCGATGTGGAGCTGTGATTAAGCGGGGTGCGTTTATTGAATCCAGGAATTCTCGCTGTTGCTTACGCGCAATCCGAAAAATATGAATGGTTGAAAACAAAGTATTATAACTGGAAATAGTCGAGGTGACTATTTCAGCGTCAAACCCTTTGATTGAAAAATATTTACGAGCTAAATAAAAAATAGTTGTTGATGTTTGAAAACTACTCAAGGATTGTGCGAAAATGATCAAATTTTAAACTGTTATCAATAAAAATAAAAAATAAATAAAATGCTGCAACTCACCTGATATAGACGATCAACAAAATGGAATGTTTTTTAAGAAAAATCCCAAAATCGGCTTGGTACAGATCTCCCTGGTGTTTGGTTTATACGTTTCTTGTTCCTAATAGGAAATTCGATTTTTCTGATGCAGAGGAAGTAGTTTCTAGTTTTCACTCATAGTAGTGAAAACATGATAATAAAGAAAAATACATAGAAATGAAAACAACTTTATGAACATGGAGTATTAAGTATTCGAGAGTACCTAAGCGTATTTTTTATTTCAAACATCCCGAATACGCTAAAAGATTTAAAAATCGATTCATTAAAATTTTGAAGTTTAAAGAATTGCTGGTGTTTTCGTTGAAGTCAGTGAGGCAATTATCATATTTCTACTTTGAGTTACTCTGTAGGTTTAAAAAAGTTCATGGATATGTTTTAATGAAAACTCGAAAAAAAAGTCTAAATATTTATTCTCTATTATTTGGTCGTTTTTTGAATTTTATATTGAGATTGGTTTTCGTAAATTGCAGTATTTTATTTAGTGTTATTTTAGTAAAAGTTGTGAACATGCAGCGGTATTTAATGGCGGTTTAAATAAGAAACTGAAATGTGGGTAGTAGACGTATCTTTTTGTGAAATTAAATAGTTCATCAGTGGATTTTTAAACAAACATTCAAACATTTGAGATCAAGTTTTGAAGTATGTATTTGATTATAAACCACAGCAACTGTAGAGTTCAGTAGAGTTTAAACAGTTTGGGAAGATTCGAATATTGCAGAATAGAAGACAAACAAAACTTAGTATTGGTACTATGACTTGTGAAGCTGCAAGCAAATAATGGAAAGTTTCGTTACCTTTTAAATTAATTCGCAAATCAATGATATAAATAAAAATTGTGGTACTTAAGTACAATAAATGCATTATCTACATCAGTTTTTTCAATATTTATCTCACGTTTATCATAGAAGTCCTTAGTTCTTCCAGATGAACCTGTTTGCGTTTTCAGAGCAACTGTTCTTACTCCCATAAGATTATCTAGATTAGACTGTCTGAAAACGCTACATTAACTCTAATAGTTGCATTGGGTATTTTACTAAAATTTCACTGGATTCGAACACAGGTACAATAAAGACCAAATATGCTAATTTATTTATCTGTTTTTGAAGATAAATGGTCTTCAACAAAATAGCAGATCTTAATCGTTCTCTATCAGTATGCATTTCCCATTTTCATTTGTAGCCGTTCAGTTTAGCAATGCAGACATAATAAGGATGCTTACTAGCGATACAAAAATAGACTTGATATAAAGTGAGTTAAAAAAAAAAGGAATAGACTCGAGAAAAATTCAGAAGTTTTTCATTCATAAACGTACCTACTGGAATACGAAGTTTATTGTTTTTAAGTGGGTATTTTTGATTAAAAAAAATGAATATCCAGGGTGTTCCAAAATTGAATTAAATCTCAATTTTTGTAGAAATTTTGGACTTTACGTATAAGTTGGAGTCTATTTTATACCATGAGACAAAGTTTGCGAGAAACAGAAACTCTTCTTGTACCTGACGATTCCAAACCAATTCATGCTGGAGCCGGACCCTATTTATTATGTCTTGCTTAAGTTATCAAGTCATTAACCAGATTTACTTTTGTAAACAAATATTTTGAGATGCTCCATCAGAACGTAATCTAATGGATTGAGATCGGGAGATCTTGATCACCATACAACTGATCCACTTCTTCCTAATCCAACTGTAGCAAAATGCAGTGTCATTTAAAAATCGCCCAGTTTTAACTGCATAATCGTAGTAAATCATCCATTTATTAGCATTGGGCACATTTATTAAATATATATTTCTGTGACCGTTCAATGTTTCTTCACAAAATTAGGCCGAATCATCTGATTTTTTTGCCCAATGCCGATAGTTTTGTCTATTAACTTGCCCCGCTGGGGTAAAAGTTGATTCATCTTAGAAAATATATTTTTAACTTGATTGGGATTGGGAAATTATGTTGTATTTTATAAATATTTTTAAAATCGCCAAACGTGATGGACGGGTAAACTTGGTGTATCGTACTTGCGGCTTCTCTCTAATCTTGATTAATGCTCATACGTGGGTTTTCTTCAACCGCTAGAAAAACTTTCAGTTTTTCTCTTCATTGATTGCAAAGCGTCCATTATTTGCCCTACGTTCTACCGAGTCAAAAATTTTGCTAACTCTAGCGGGTTTGCTGGTCTTTCCGGATATTTGTTATTAAGTAAAACCCTCATCTCATGGGTTCGCACTTCATCACCAAATCCAATCGTCAAAAAATGTTCAAAATATTTTTGTTCCAATAAAATGGATGCTACCAATTTTTAGCCACCCTGCATTATTAATTAATATTCGCAATTAATCAATTGAGACAATGTGGAAAAAAATTAATGAACACTTAAATTATTGATGTCAGAAAAAACGGTAGTCTCGCAGCTCTGTTTCAAGCTATATTAATTCACAAAGCTGGGCTGCCAATCATAAGGGGTGAGATTTTCAACAGCACATGTTACCGTTAGTGATTTATGATGTTGTGACAAGACAATCACACCGAGCTCATATATGTAAAATAATGATTTTTTAATGAATCCACCAGTTGGATATCGGGAAAAAAGTTTCAGTCGTTTGTCAAATTCAAAATTGGATGTAGCAGTTGCAGTTTTATTAAATTTTTAATATGCCCGTTCACTGCTATTTCCTCCTGGATAATGATAAATTATTTTTTTCATTTGCTCTGCCTCACTTTTTAGAACTTCAGAGTAAATGCTTGGAATGGGCAACTTTGTATTTACGTAGATTCAGCCAACAGATATTTCTATTCTGATCTCATCGGTTGGTTCGTACGTGCCGACGGTCATAATCCACTAAAAGATTCGCTAATTCGGCTATTTTGTACACTACGTGATTTCTTTCCGCAAATCCCTCTTCATAACTGCCGAGGGTCCGAAAATCGCGCTACGAATCCTTAATTAATATTCGGAATTGTCTGAAATTTAAATGTCCAGTCGTAGTACTTTAGGGAATTTTCGTCGGGATAAAATTAATTTTTCCACAACACCGCGCAACTAAATGAAAAAGTAAGGTCCCGTTTCGAGGGACCCTTTTCGTCCTTCGGGATGGTCCTGTGGTGCGATGCCATTAACACGCATTTTTAATTTATAAGAAATGGGCTTTAATTGAATGTGGCTTATATTTTTCTTTACTTTTATTGCCTCCAAAGTTCTAACGACTTCTTTTAATGGCTATCCAGGATTTTTTATTGCATACCAGCGCACTTTTTATCACCAACCTTTTTACTACTCAAATGTGTTTCAACCGTTTGTACTAATGACGGTCAAGTGTTGTTTTATGATACAGTTTAGTGGTCTACATCTCCAGGGGGTAAATATTTTTGAGCGAGAACATTTTCATAATTGTTCTACCATCTTTTTCCCATTGAAGTGTTTGCTACTAACGTGACAATTTACCCCGCACATTTCAGGGAATTGTTACTGTATACAATATAAGAGTGCACCATCTTCTAATTTATTTGTTTAATTCTTACCTTATCCCATTCTATCTGATATTTCTTCAAAAATAATGCACGTTCTGTTGAAAATCCGGCGGTTTTTGATATTCAGACTAACAATTTGAGAAAAGCACGTTTTACCACAGAAATTGCAATTTTGTACAAAGGTACACCTTTTAAGAATCAACCCTTTGCGTGCTGTTCAACTTTCTTGCACAAATAGACCCAGAGCTTAATAAAAAAACTTTTTGTTTCATTTGTTTAAAAACACGTTTCGAAGATTTCCTAGTTATATGCAAACTGCCTCAAATGCTGACAAATTCTCGAACAGTTTTTGGATTAGTTTATCTACCTGAACCTACACATAGCTTTAATTATATTTTTAATAAAAAAGGTAGGCAGATTAAGTTAAAAACACATTTTACATTTAAAATGAAAAATATAATCAACTATGACTCTAGAACAGCGATTCAAACCCTTGTTCAAATATTCTACCTTTCATAATATTTGGACCTGCTCTTTATACTTTTAATTTACATGTCCTCTTCTGTGGCTGCAACCGCATTATAAGTCTGCTTTGTTCTAAAATAATTCAATTCTGTTTAGCTGAGAAAATCCAATGTTTGCCAATATTCCTATAGAAATTAAATAAATTGTTGAATTTTGCTTCGAATTTTTGAAGCAACTTGTATGTACTTTTGATTTGACAAAATTTCGTACGCTTGATTAGGCTTTCAGTTTTTTTCTTATTTTATTAATTGAACATGAACTGTTTTCATTTGGACGTTTTTCCTTGAAAAAATCTGTGTGAAGGAAGATGAAAATCAAAATTCGAACTAAAGCAACGCAATAAAAATACCTTAGAGAAAACTTATACGTGGAAATATCGTGTAAACTTCATTTAGAGAGTGAGGAAAGTGTCACATTTTTTTTAAATAATAAAATACTATTAAAAAACGGGTTTTCGTTTGCCATGGATGTTGCTCTTATTTAACGTATAAACATTTGCAGCTGTTGTCAAGAATCTTACCTCTCTTCATTCTCAGTCAAAGATTTGTATCACTCACAAATTACACTGAAAGCTGTTTATTTAAGGGAACTGTGTGAGGGCAAACGCGTTGAAAACAAAAAATAAAATACGGGAAAGAAAAGAAGTAATAATGTAATTTGCCATTGGATAGAAACTCTTTAGATGCTTGACAACAATAGTAAATAAAACAAATATTGACATAATAATATATAAGAAGCATCAACAAGTGAATAAGACAATACGGTATCGAAAATTGCATTTGAAAAATAACAGACACAACACAGTAACTTAAGGTGGTGGAATTTTGGAGCATAAATATAAATAGTCGTGCAACGACCACGCAACCAAAAAATTTCACCTGCATTAACAATTAAAATTATGAATAAAATATTTAATAGAATAATAAATTTGTGCTACCCTGTGTAGTTAATGTGTTGAAATAGGTAGCAGTTAGAACAGAACAAATTACTAATGACAAAAATAAATAACTAAACCATTGCGCTATTCCCGTTCATCGTAGTAGTTCCCAGCTGATATAATCTTCACATGGAACCTCAACTTATTCTCCTTAATAAAAACACCCATGAGGTCAGATAAAAAGAGCACGCATCTATTTCGCATGGCAAAACATGTTTCCTTTTCCAAAATTGGTGTGCATCCTGCTCGGGAAAGGATCCCTATATCCCTGCCGGCCTTATCGATCATTTCTATTTCAAAATTATACTTTTTGGCATCTAAATCTGATCCGACGATAACTGTTGACCACATTAACGTTTCTTTTTCATGTTTGAAGATCAACTAGAATAATATAATAAAAAACTAGATGCATTCAAAAAAACAATGTTATCAGATATCACATTTAAAAGACGCAAACAATGTAATTTAAAAACGAAGTTGAAATAAGCGACTTCTTTAAATTGGAAGGCTTACAAAATCAACATAAATCTTCACGTGAGGGATTTAAAATTGCTTGCTTAGAGTTGTAAATAGAAAACATACATATTTGCATTTTTATTAAGTGATGTCATAACTGGTTTAAAGAGCTTCAGCTAGAGAATAGGAGTAATGACCATGTACCTAGTGATGAGCTAATGATTGATTGCGGTCTTTAATCAACCCGAAAGAGAAAACGTTTGCGAATTATTTTAAAATTTTATAAGAACTGCTTGGGAAAGTGTGTGTATAATCAGTGGCGGCTGGTGCATAAACCAACATACATAAGAACATGAAAAAAACATATTTAATAATATAGAAAAAATGATCTACAACGCTGCTGTAAGATCTATTATATCATTACTTAGGCTGCTGAGACCAAAAAGAAGACTCTGAAGACTATACTGGGCCTAACTCTGTCGAACAGAATAAGTAGGAAATATATCAGAGAAGAGTGTGAAATCGAAGATATCGTCAGTACTGGTACGAACATGTGGGTAGAGCCAAAGTGGAAGGACTAATTAAAACAGCCCAGGATGGAAGGCCAGCAGCCAAGAGACCGAGAGGCAGACCCCGAAGAATAGAATAAACTAGAAGTTCTCTTTCACTAAGACGTGAGGCGTGTGTAGAAGAACAGGCACATGCCAATAATAAAGGAAAAGACGAAAGAATGATACAAAAATTAATTATAATATTAAATACTTGGCATAGACTCGAGCCACAATTCGCTTGCCCTAGTGGAGATTCCGCTGTATTTAATCCAGCAACAACCACGTTATTGAGTAGTAAATTAGTATCGCTTTTTTGTTGGAGGCGTATATTTAAGTGGCTTTCTAGATTACCCGCGCGGCGATATGACTTGATAACAATAATAATAGGTATGTGGGAGTGGTCTTGAATTTTTTTAGCGTGTAGAGATTTTCAAATATTCATGCGAAGAAAAGACAGAATGAAAAGGATAAGAACTATTATTACCATATAAGTAGTTTATTGAAAGATACGGTGCAAGTAGGAGGAAATGCAAATTTTTGACAGACAGATTTAGATCATTTCGATCACAAATCATTAGTAATCGCCACAAACAGCAAATTTCATCATCAGATTTCTGCTTTGTACAAAATATCGGTTTTATTTCAAAGAGCATCACGTTTCTTTAGGAGGATGGCGTAAAATTCCGTGGGAGTAAACTCACCTAGAACGATTACGAACTGAACTGTTTGCTATTAATTCAAGAAATAATCGTAGCAAACAAATCGAGGACATACATTGAGGGAGACTATAAAAATATTAGAAATTGTGCTAACAACTTCCATTACGACATCAGAGACCGAAATATTTTTCTCAACCAGAAAATCCTGAAAACGTTTCTAAGAAATTCAATGACCAAGGATTATTTAACATATTAAAAAAATGATCTCCGAATTGAATATTCTTGAACAAAATTGGCGATCCAAAAATACAAATATAAACTTAATTAAAAAAAAATAGTTAAGGTTTGTTGCAAAATGCCTTAACATTTTTAACAGGAGCCGCCACTGTAAGTAAAAAAAATATCGGCACATTGATTTGAAATTGGACAAACTCCTATGTTCTGTTATAGAAAGCGAATAGAGTCGGGCAATTATTTATAATTAAAATAAAAAAATGCATATAATATTAATAGCTTTATGGCTCGCTAAGGTTTCCAACGTTTTCTTATGACTGATATATCGACTGATGCTATTACAATTTACTGTATATACTTTCCTGACTGTGTTTCAATTCCAAATCATTTTACAAAAAAAAATTACATTTTACATAAAAATGTATGCCAAGGCTTAAAGCAGCAACAACGCTACACATAAAAACTGATGATGGTGGAAAAATACACCGAAACGTATTTTAATTGATAAATAGAGACAATAAATGACTGAAACCCAGGAATTAATTTTGATTTGGAATTACAATTTACTGGTCACATTTAACTGTTGATAAACAAAAGGGAAAGCGAAGAAAAACAATTCTAGTCGACGAATATATGATTGGGACACGGCAGAAACTATTCAAAAGTGTTTATGAATAATTCATACGGTTTTTTGTACCATTGAGGTAGAAGATAGTTGGAAGAAAATCGTAATAACACTACAAAAATTATAATTGTTTAGAGAAATGAGAGAATGTTACACAGTGATAAATAAAAAAATAAACACTAATTCTATTGATGTGATGATAAAACAAAATTTTGCAATAGGGTAACTAAAATTTTACTTGAACACATTAGATAATTTCATTCAATAATTTCACTAACCCAAGTTATTTTTGGGCAATTTTCATCGATGGTTAATTTTATTCACTGTACGTTACGAAATCTGATAATTTACAGTGCAGTGTGTACATCTGTAAATATCTTGTAAAATATGCTTTTAAAGCAAAGATCAGAAAATCGCACTTTTTGAGCCGATAAAACGATTTTGCGGTTATTTTCACTTGTGAGTAATTTTCAAAGAGAAATTAATCTTGAGAATAATTATAACAATAAAGAAGAGTAAGGACAATACATACAGGGTGGTTTTTTAAAAATCTTGAAACGCTTAAATATTTCGGAAACGAGTGATCCGAGGAAAAAATGTTTCAAATAAGAAGTTAATATCTGGGAGGGGGAAGTTTATTCGTGTCAGAAAAGCAACGCCTACATCGACCTTGTACGCTAGGCAGGGGTCAACTTGAAAATTTCAAATGGTAACCACAACATTTTATTGGAGATTCGATTAGTACGTCAATAACTGGAAATAATTTATCTAAAACATTTTCTTCGATTTTGACAGGTGGCGCTGTAATCCATCGATTATCATTTTTTTTTGCTTCAGATCTGGTGAACTTATTTTATTGAAACTTATTGAAAATAGATGTTTTGTTGATTTGAAGGTACATATTTGATCATTATTTTAATAGATGCTATTGGTCACACTAAAATTTTCAGCGTTTCAATTAAATAATAGAGAGTTTAGCAGATCTAAAGCAAAAAAAAAGATAATTGATGAATTGCAGCGCCACCTGTCAAAATAGAAGAACATGTTTTGGATAGATTATTCTCAGTTTTTGACGTACTGTTCGAATCTCCAATAAAATGTTTTGGTTACCATTTGAAATTCTCAAGTTGGCCCCTGCCTAGCCTACAATGAATAAACTTTCCCCTCTCAGATATTAACTTCTTATTTGAAAAGTTTTTTCTCGTATAACTCGTTTCCGAAATATTTAAGCGTTTCAAGGTAAAAAAAACCACCCTGTATATTATGTGAAATAGTATTATATAAATGATATGTAATACATAAAACCGCAATGTGTAAAAGCGCAATCGAAATGCATCGCGATGGGTTGATCGGCTCCGAAATGATGCTCGTTTTACTTTACTTCGTCCTATGGTTTTGCCGTATCCTTTTCTTATATCCGTCAAAACAGAACGATCACACGACAAATAATCAACTTACTTTGAACACCATGCCATCATGAATAATCAGGAAATGTTTCTTGAATGGTAAAGGGTTTTGTTGAAGATCTATTTCGACAATTTTACCGGTTAGCATGTTATTGGAATGGTTAAATGTAATGTGCCTATCGGTTTCATATAATCGGCATTTTACTTCACATTTTTGTTCCTCCCTTAGGGGACATTCGAAATACGCAAATCTGCAACTAGATTCGTGCTCTTGAATGTAAATAGATTTCAGAACCATCATGCAGCCTTCATCACGGTATGTACAGGGGTACGTTAGAGTATCAATCAGCCCTACGAAGGCGGTATTTTTACTCGGCTCCAGGTCCATTTGGCATAAATTACATTTTGACTGTTCACCACATTTCAAGCACAGAATATGATTATTTGGACATTCTTGTATCGGATTTATCAAATATCCGTAGCAAGATTGACATTTGACCCCGTCAAGTTTCGCCCAATCTATAAGTTCATTTTTCATTTCTTCTGTAACATCGTTCGGATAATCAAATTGTTTATCTTCCACGATGCCTTCGTAAATTTGAAAGTGAGCTATAAACTCTTTGGCATTGGGAAGGTCTTCCTCTAGTTCAGCACTCGAAATGCATTTCAACTCTAGCAACTGAGAGTCAGTGTGACGAGCAGAATATACCCGAAAGTCATCGGGATTATCTGTTTCAATTGTAACAGAATATTTGTAAAACGGTGCGGAATATCTGGTAGGTACATGTTCCACAGAACAGTTATATATTTGGTTGATGTTATTCATTTGCGAGCGAAGCAAAAAAATCTCAGTTTCAAACGGCATTAGGTATATATCGGAAAAATTCTTTGTAAAATCCAATTCATATTTTCTGTCTGATAATATAGCCAGAGGATGACTGTTTTGGTAATGACGCTTTAAGTCTAGGGACCGACCGTTCCATTCACAGTGTAACAATTCACTTGCGGGACAGTTTATTACACGATGGGGGCATCTGCGCTCATGCCTTGTCATCACGGAAGGTTTAAACAACTCCTTGCAACCACCATCTTTATATCGGCATGGGAATTGTAACATTTTTATAATTTGCTCATATGGTTTGTCTCGCAGGTACTCTGTCGGATTTGGTAATGGGCAGCGTCCACACACTGCTACACCTCCGTCCATGCGTACGTATATGGGAAAAGCTGTGAGGCGTAATGAACATATGGGACATGTTAGTTTATCCATAAAAATGATAAAACTATCCACTATCTCTTCTAGTGACGTCTCAGCAGAATCTGTGAAACAATACTTCGATTACATTTAGGAATGTTTTCCGGGCTTTGAAGCCGTGGTCTATCGGAATTTCTTCCTGACGTTTCGTCCATACTAAGAACAACGAACAAATTAATTAAGGATATGACATCTCCATCCGAGGACTTGGCAAAACTCAAAAAATTAGAAGCACTCCCACCAAGGCTCTACGAACTGCCCAAGATCCATAAACCGGATGTACCACTGAGACCCATTGTGAGCGCCATTGGAAGTCCGACCTACAATATTGCAAAATATCTAGCTAAAATATTACAGCCAAAAATTGGAAAAACGGACAGCTTTATAAAGGACTCATCCCATTTTGTTCAGAGGTTGCACTCGTTGTCGTTATCGCCCGGGGAAATCCTTGTGAGTTTTGATGTGGTTTCATTGTTCACAATGGTACCAATCAGGGAGGCAATGGAACTTGTTGCGAGAGCATTTCCACCAGACATCGCCAAACTCTTCGAACACTGTCTAACCACAACCTACTTTCAGTGGAACAGCGAATTCTTCGAGCAGACGGATGGAGTAGCAATGAGCAGCCCTCTTAGTCCAGTGATAGCCAACAATTTTATGGAAAAATTTGAAAAGAACGCTCAGGACACAGCCGTGAGGAAACCTAAGTGTTCGTTCCGCTATGTTGATGACATTTTTGTTGCTTGAGGCCATGGTTTGACTGAACTGGAAGACTTCCTGAGGCACCTCAACTCAATAAACCCTAAAATTCAATTGACTATGGAAGTGGAGAAGGATGGGCGACTGCCTTTTTTGGATATCTTGGTGACCAGAAAAGCCAACGGAAAGCTGGCCCACACAGTGTACAGGAAACCGACACATACCGACCGGTACCTGCACAGTGGTTCAAACCATCACCCCAGTCAGAAGAGAGCAGTCATTAAAACTCACCGAAAGAGCCAGAAGAATCTGCGAACCAGCCGAGTTAGAGGGAGAATTAAAACACCTGGAAAGGGCCTTTGGATGGAATGGATACAGTAAGAAAGATTTCAATAGAGCAGTTCGACCAAAAAACAGTGAAGATCGCTCGGAGGCAACAGACGCATGATGAGCATAAGAGTTGGGCTTGCCTCCCGTACATACATGGAGTCACGGACAGGATCGGCAAGATACTGGAGAAACACCAAGTAAAAACCATTTTCAAACCAACTCGAACCATCCAACAGTCTTTGAGATCGGCCAAGGACAAACGGGATCCTTTATCAGCATCAGGAGTCTACAGAGTTCCGTGCAGCTGTGGAAGAGCATACATCGGGACAAACGAAAAAATCAGCAGTAGCGGAGCACGCACTGCTAGACGGCCACCAAATACGCTTCGACGAAGTTGACATTCTGCACCAATCTGAAACAAACTACCCGAGACTCGCCAGAGAGGCCATCGAAATATTTAAAGACCAAAACAATTTTAACAGAAAAGAAGATATTACGGCACTCAATCCAGATTGGAAGCGCGTTTTGCGCCAAACAGCATGTGCGCCGAAGCGTTGGAACCCCCACCCATCCCCCACGCATGAGCACACACGGCTGGGCTGCATAAATACGACGGGGAATCCAGCAGTTGAATCAGTCTTAGTCGGAAAGCACGGGAGATCACTTCGCCCACTGCCTCATCGCATTTGAAAATGTCCACCGCAGTTGTGGACGAAACGTCAGGAAGAAATTCTGATAAACCACGGCTTCAAAGCCCGGAAAACATTCCTAAATGTAATTTAACCGGCCGTGAAAGCCTTCATAGTCTGATAATACTTCGATTGATATCGTTAAAATACAAGGAAAAACCCGCTTAGGCCACTTTTTGGGCTGAAAGTATATTTCAATCAAATCGATTTCAAATATAAGGATAGACACAAAATAACATGACGTAAACAATACAGTGAACAATGCAATCAACAAAACTTAAATACTCCCAACATTCCAGCAAGGGAGTGAAAGTTTGTTTTTAATATTGCAAGCAGAATGTGATGGTTTTATATGGAAGATAAAAACAAAAAACACCCGAGTTAAAATTACGTTGTCGTTAAACGCTAAACGTTATTCTAATCATGCGCAGTGTTGAAAAAATAAGGTGTTCAGGCAAATAACGTTAAGTGCGTTTTTTAATTTTTGATACCGTGTTTGTCGCACTCTTAATAAAATAAACCTCACTTTATTGTTTTCCTATCCCGTTTTGTTTGGAAAAGATTCAAAGTTAGTTTAAGTTTGTATTGTTATTAAATAAAAAGTGGTTAAGAAGGGAAGAAAACATTGAAGCTGTCTTTCTGCGCCGGAATGACCAGGCAGATGTAGATCACGATTTAATAAGAGGCTTAATTTTACACGACATCTTGGACCCACCTGTTGTTGCAAACCGAAAAGCTATTTTTAATTTAGAAAATCTAGAGCCCAGAGATTGCCTTATCAATTTTAGGTTTCAGAAGAAACATATTCTAAACATATTAAATAAAAATTCAAAATCAAATAAAATCACATAAAATCCGTAATTACCCAATAATGGCGTAAATTTATCAATGAAAAAGTCTTATATAGATTTACAATACATTTCTTATTGTATTATAGCCGCTTATTTTATTAATAATATTAGAAATAAGCGAAATATGTCAACACCGTCGTTCTGCTTTTTAACGTGAGGCTTATTAACGTTACCGGTACTCGGAAGTAAATAAAGGAACACGTTATCCTCTAATAACGTAAACGGTTATTTCTTTACTATAGCGCATGCTCAGAATAACGGATAACGTAAAGCGTGTTGCAATTAAGGGGCCCAAAAACTCCCTAATAACTAACTAGGAATCCAGTACTTTAAGTTTTTGAACTGAATGTAAACGTGTGAAAACTTATTACTCTAAATGTCGGCAATATTGGCAGCAAGAAGTTCCCGCTATATGTAGCGCCAAAATTGCAACGCTCATCATTTTCGTAATCTAAAAAAACATATCAAGACAGTTTTAGAGTGATAGCAAAAAATTATTAAAATTAAAACTTTTAACACCCTGTATCTTCGAAAATATCAAGTTTCAATGCTCATCATTTGACGTGTGGTATATTCACTTTCCGGTTTTCCGATTCTTAATGAATAACCCAGTTTATATTTTTTAAATCTTTTTTTGAAGTGAAAACTTCTTATTGCGCGGTCTAAACCCATCGGAATGCGTAAAGACCATTTGCACGCTCAAGCCATCTTGTTCCTCTGGTGCAATATATTGTACAACCAGTGGACAAGTGTCCTGCAGACGCCAAATCTAACGCTTGTATCAATACCAATGCCCAAAATATTACCTCCTTTTTGCTAAAATTTTAGTCTGTATTTAGACACAGATGCTCAAGATTCAGTTATATTAAATTTGTGTGAAACGCGCCTCTCATATTCTATGCAAAACGATGGCTAATATGAAACAACAAATTTGTGATTTTATTGATTCCTGCAAGTCGTTTCTGATTTTGATTTTCCTGACTGCGGGTAATTGTTCTTTTCCTTCCTGGGTTTCAGTCCCGTAATTTTTTTTTTATCGTTTATTTCATAACGTTTTGCCGAGACAACAGCCCATCATCAGATTTAAAATTCATACAAACTGATAATTGGGAAACATTAAATTCTTTTAGGTCTTTGCTAATTTTTTTTCCGCCTAAAATTTGAGGTTTCAAGACAGCAAAGACCTAAAAGAATCTAATGTTTCCCAATTATGAGTTTGTTTGAATTTTAAATCTGATGATGACGCTGTTGTCTCTCCGAAACGTTATGAAAGAAACGACATACATTTTTTTATTTCAAACGTTTTTTTCTTCTGTGGAAAGTCAAAAATAAAAATTATAGCGACCGCATACCATTTCCTTTTAGTTTTCAAGTTCATGTTTTTTTTTATAACACTCACTGCAGCCGTTGCATAAATTAATTCTTCGCCCAAACGTTCCATCTTGTTGACAACAATACAATTTTGGGTGTTCCTCAATTCACATCTGAGTAAAATGAACTGAACGTGTAAACGTCAGATTTTCGTTCAGTTCATTTGCTCAGATCTGGCTTGTGCAACCCAGTTTGTACAGATGGCTTGGTAAATGGGCTTTTAGGTGTCGGTCGTCCTTTTGATGCGTTTTCGTGCGAACTGCGCTCGTCAGATATCGGACGAATAATCTTTATTTCTAGTGGAAAAGTGTATGAACTCAGTCGATCTTTCCGCAAGTATATATGTACCTGTTCACATGTAACTTTTGCTACATAGATAAACAATGTTATTATATTCTTATCTTTCCTGGGTCTCAGTCAAAGTGTGACGTAAAAAAATTGAAAATAGTTTATTTCCCTCAAGAACTGATGAATGTTTTAACGCTTTATAAATTATAGTTTTTATACAACATGTTTTAATTGTGAATTGGTGTTTGTAGTTTCTGATTTGTGGTGTTGTCTCGCCGAAATTCATCTCACCTTGACTGAGACCCAGGAAAGATAAGAATATAATAACAAGTACACGCAGTCAGTTAGCTTTATTCGCGGTAGCGATTCAGGGTCGGTTCAGAACAGAGAACGAACTGATTAAGGGCGCAGGCTCGGTTCAGAACCTGTTCAGAATCGATCCTTGATTCTTTCGTTCTGCGAACTCGTTTAAAATCACCTTTTATTAGTATCAACAGGATTTTAGTTACTTTGTGCTTAACGGTACACTATACAAACGCAAGGTCTTACATCTGCTGTATTTGACCTGGTTTTTTGTACCTGCACCCTTTGCCTGCATCCCGTTTCTTAATTCACGTTTATGGCTTTGTTTCCATTCACCTTGAGGCCAAAAATTGCTATTATTTAGTAGTAGTAGGTAATTCCAAGTTTATTTTTACATTGGCGTTCTGATGCAAATTAGATAATCAAATGCGATATAAACATAAAAAAAACTTAATACAGTTGAGTCCGGATATAACCAACTTGAAAAATGAACTAAAACTGGTTCGTTATATCCGAAGTTCGCTATAAGCGAATAATAATACAAAAACACGTGGTGTATTTTATTTCGTTATTTTTACATAGAGTAGTAGAAGTTAGTAGGTATGACTAAAAAGAACACAAAAAGATAAACAAAATTCAATTTGAAATCTACTTCATAAAGGCTGCAATTTTTGTTTGTACATTTCTTTGCAAAAATAGATGTTATTTATGTAGTTTTCAAAATCACAAAAGGACTCCCAGATATGATTAGGAACTTGGCGTGATTGTAGAAAATTCCGAGTTTCTGACACTTTTTTGTCATTTCAGAAATGGTTGGAACAGCATTAGTGTCTACAGAAGAATACGTGTCACCTAAATCGTCATCTTTCTCATTATCGCTTAAAGCTGTAGATGAGGTTACGGAGTCTATAATTTGATCATTGGTCAACGTTTCTCTTGTAAGAATGCCATTATCAATGCTCACATATTAGAAGAAATTGAAATCACTCAATTTGGTTTTAACTTGTTCTTCCACAACATTGGGACATCTTTGTCTGTGTCATATTCGTAGTCAGAGTCTTTATACTTTTCTAACCATTCGTTAAGTGGAAGTTCATCGTCTGGTTCATAATCATTTTCTTTTCTTACAAATCATCCATGCTTAAAGCAATTTACAATGGTTTTTCGGCTAACTTTTTGCCAAGCTCTATGAATGAAATTGACTGCATCTAAGAGATTTATAGAAAATGTTTCATTTTTATCGATTGCCTCTAACGTTTTCATAAGAAGAATTTTTCACCGGCAGACTCTCCAACAATTTTTCCGCTACTGATATTATGCCTCTTCTTGAAACGCTCTTCCCAACTTTTAGAACAAGCAAACTCTTTGCTTTTGATTTTACTCCCCATTTCACTAGCATTTTCTTGCAAAACACTGCCACTTCTGGGAACGTTTTCTTGTCTTTTTTTGAGTAAACCACTTAATAAGTCCCTTGTCAACCTTTTCATGTGCAGATAATTTTAACTTCCTGCATCTAACATTTGTTTTGTCATACGCTGATAAAATGTTTTCTTTGTTTTTCCATATTCTTGCAACAGTAGACTTTCCAAGTGCTAATTCCTTACAAATGTCACTCTGATTTACTCCACTTCTTATTTTGTTAATAATCTCGTACTTTTCATTTAGTGAAAAAGCTTTGTGTTTTTGTTTTTCCATTCTAAAACGATTTACATACATAACGCGGCAAAAAACAACAAGTCACTGCCTGTCTCTCGCTATCACTAATATAAACTACTCCGCAGGATTGGTGTTGTTGAGCGTGAAAGTGCGTTATAAACGGAAAGTGAATATACAACTAACCTAAAAAGTGATCGTTATATCCGGAAGTTCGTTATAAACGGGATCGTTATAACCAGTAAAAAAATACGTTGGTCTTTATGGATGACGTTTCAATTAAAGGAAAAAAGTTTGTTTTAACCGAAAGTTCACTATAACCGGGTTCATTATAAGCGGACTTTACTGTAGTTCTAAAACTTAATAGTGATTTAGAAATTACTATAGGTACAATAAAAAAAATCTTGATTTTTCTCTGGCAAAGTCACTTATTAAATCATGATTTTTAATCGATCGAAGTAAATCACATTCAATGCTTGACCTTAAGCTTAACCAATGGAGCGATAGATGAAAATAGAAATATATACGGAATATGTAAATTTTTTCGATATATCCATGAATAATATCTGTTGAAATATATACATGTATATGTTTCAACTTATAGTTATTTCTATCGAATTTATGTACCTAAACATTATAGTCAAAGTTGAAGTAAATTCCAGAAGTAAATAGTTTGAATAGTACTACTACAAAATGTTGACAAAAAGTCAAATGGTTGTGGGTATCACCAAATTACCTTAATAGTATACAACAGTAAAATCCTCTTTGCTCTAGATTTTCGACTTCGACATTATATCGTAATTTTCCTAATTAAACTAGAGAAAAGAAAAGGTCTTGGCAACGGTTTAGATTAATTAATGTGTAATGTAAAAACTCTCAAGTTTTATTTCAGATACGATATTTGATGCTCTTTCAAAATTTCTAACAAAATAAATCAATTATATAATTTAAATGATTGCTGTGGTGCAATTAAAACGATACACTTGATGCACCAGCGGAGGGTGATTCTACATGAAATATCATTGTCTTCAGTTCATCTTGAAACTTTAAAATATTTTTTAGTTTGATAACCGATTACTTTCAAATTTAGAATTCGTCCCTGCTCATTATTAGTCATCAATTTTCTCGAAAATAAATCATTTTTTAAAGGTGAAACATGTTTTAATAAAAAATTGTCATGCTATCATCCTTATGTCTCCGTTTACTCTGAGGTTTAGGAAAACTACAATAGTTACCTTTACTGTTTACAACTTGAATTTTAGAAGAATTATCATATTTTCTGCACATTATGACTTAAGGATATTTTATCTTAGGAAGTGATTTATCTTAGGAAGAATCCTAGCAACAACCAGGAATTTGCAGGGACATATAAAAAAACGTTATTTTAATAGTTTGAGTTTAAATGAAACAAACGTGAATATTTCAGGAACGGTATTTTTTTGAGTACGTACAAGGCATTTGATTGTTAAAATGTTCAGATAACTCATAGTTGCAAAGATGTAATCGGCATTTCAATTTTTTATATTTCTTTGGGAACGTCTAAGTCTGAACTAAAGCTGAATGACCCATGTAATTTATTTATTGATTATTTATCTGTTATTGTTATATGCGAATTTTTATTGTATTTTAATATTTTTATACGCATTTTATAATTCGCCATGAATTTTTTTCCGTTTAATAAATTTAGAATTTGAATTTCATTTGAAACAGCAAAGTTTTCAGCGATTTTTCATGTAAGAGTGGGGTAGGATTACATATATAACAGTTTAACTATGGGAATTGGTTTTTGTTCCTTAACAAACACTTCGTATTAATGCAGTCAGAAAACCAGAGGACAAAAAAAAACATACAAAACAACACGACGGAGAGAATAAAACGAAATCAAAGGCAAAAGTAAAACCTTTAAAGATCTAAATCCAATGAGTCGCCTTGTTCGTTCAACTATTGACCAAAAGGAAAATCACTGTATTTAATTGCGGGTTGGTTAAATTAATTCATAGGTTACCCTTTTTATATTCAACATTAAAATGATAAGAAAATTGGTTATTTTAAAGTATGTGAACGAACAAAATTCGATTCCCATGTTACTTCGAATAAGCACAACCTACAGATTACGTTCCCGAATTAGCTTACAATAGTAATTGAAGTTTCGCCAAGAAATGAATAGCTTACCCATTTTAACTTGTATACACCAATTGGAAATAATTTACTACTGTCGATTTAATATCAGTGGAGTCGTTTCAGGTTTTCTTATATTCTTTCGGTGAAATTGTTCGGATTTTTGTATTTTGGGTAGATATATATCTGATTTTTTTAACACAAAATCTCTGAACAGTTAAATTCTTAAACTAAAATTGTATAGCTGATATTCAACCACAAATAAATCAATCAATATACTTGCATTAGGTATTGTACAAATTGAATTAATTACAAGCACTATTAAGTAACGAATTATAATTCAGTTTGCATATGATTCATATGTCCATGTTTTTATGGCTCTGAGACCGGTCGAGATAGGGAAATGAAATTTGGTGGGTTTTAAGAGGTATTCATTGCACATTTATCGCCATGTAATTAAGAGTTTCATGTTCAATTATGCGCGGATATGGGTAACAATCTCAATTTTTTAAAGCAAAAATGGTACGCTATTGAGATATTTCAAATTATAAATTTAAATTTGTGACAATAAATTGCTCGAATTTCTCGTTTCTCAAATGCATTAGGATCAAGAACTAGCCAATACAATAATAGTAATCCAAAACAATAATAGAAAATCACACTAATAAAATTTTTAATAGACGCAAATCTATAACAAATGTCCAAAATAACCTCCCGCAGGCGTGATACAACTGTCAACTCTTCGCCTCATTGATGTTCGTATTCGCGCAAATATTCCTGGTGTATTTCTGATTGTCACTGGTATTTTAATGACTTTCATTTTGTATCAACTAAAATGAAATATTTTTCAGCCGAACTACTCTAGAGCAAATCAATGAAAGTATCTTCTGAAAATTTTTTTTACAGATAAAACGATTTCTGAATGCTATTTTGGATCTTGCTTTTTTTGGCTTTTGAGTTATTGAACTCAAATGTGGAAAAGTGGCTTAGAAACACGTTTGCTCGGCGAAATAATCTAATTTCGTTTCCAGACCCATTTGCAGAAATCATGTGCAGTTCCATGTGTTCCATTATGTAGGAGACGTTTTTCTTTTTAATAAATATTTAGCGTACATTTGCTCCTAGCTCCCTGATATCATGATCAAATTTCGTGTGACGAAAGCCGCCCAAAATATTCATAAAGTTTAGAAATTAACTACGAAAAAATCAATAGCTCCATCGATACCGAATACACCAGTCAATTGATGAATATGGGATGAAAAGTTAAGCAGGAAATCTGTGTGCCAAATTTATTTGAAATCAGCAAAGCAATGAGAGAGAAATATAAAAAATCCATAAAGCTTTAGTTGCTTGACGGAAAACTAAGGTCAGTTGAAGCTAAAAGATTTATAAATTAGACGACATTCTTGGCAGCTTTTTTCAAGCTGGCGCACCATCCTCCATTTTCTACCCATTAACCCTCAAGAAGTTTACTACACTCTCACAAACTATCGCACTTGCCATAAGGGCCAAGATGATTCTATATTTTCCGTCTATAAATGCGATTATCGACCCATTTCGTCCACTGTCGGTAGCAAACTGAACATCCATACACTTTTTCGAGAAAAAAGACACCGAACTATAGAATAAACATGATTATTTAATAATTTAATTGTTCGCCCTTTTGATGACTCATGTTTTACTTGGCAGTTCGATTTTATTTTGTTTATTGTTGAAATTTTTGTAGAAACTGCCTGTTCGCACGGCAATATTTCCAAAGGCAAATTTCACGTTTCAACTTAACGAAAGTCAACAAAAACTAAACAAAAAACGCTCCAAGATCTTTCACTAATTTAATTTTACATTGAGACCCATTTATATTTGTTTGAATTTCACTCAGCTGACTGACTAAAATTAATAACCGAATTAATTTTGTTTTTCAAAAAATATTGACTAAACAAAAAATCAGCGAACAATGCACTTAAAAATTAAACTGTTGCTCTATTTTCGAGCAATGATAAAAACCAATGAATTTTCAACTAATAAAAATTGTCCTTTAAAAGTCCTGATTTCAAGAAGAATTCCGCCACAAGCGCAATTTGATCAGTTGTAACTCACAAACTCACCGAGTGGCATCAACTCAAAAGCGCAACTCAACACGGTGTTACCCAGGCTTTGATGGGCCGTTTCTAACTGGACACTTCAGTTTCTTTAGGGTGGATTCCCTATGAATATCTAAGAGCCATTAATGATCTCAATTTCATGTTAAGAAATACTTTTGATTTCATTTTATGCCCTGAATAGTAAGTCAACCTCTGAAATACCTTTTGAAACAATCAATCCCTGGCGTTATTCCAACAAGCCAATTACATCACTACTTAGGAGCTGATAAAGCAGATTATCAGTAATATAATACCTAGACTCTTCTTTTAAGACTATTTAGAATGTTGATATTTAGGATTCTAGTTACTATCAATCACAACAGTTATTTGATATAATACGAAACACATTGAACAATTTTTATAGTAATTAATTTATGTTACAATTAGACCCTTTGATTTTGATTTATATATATATATATACTAGCTGACCCGGCAAAAGTTGTATTGCCATATAAATTATTCCTAGGGTTTTTTTTTCATCTCGAGTGGGCGGTTTGCCCACTTGAGATTTTTTTAAATTTTATTTTAAATTTATTGAATTACTAATATAGCTATTAAAAGATAGGGGTTTATGGCAGCACCATCACTTAGGGGTATAAAAAATAGATAACAACCTATTCTCAGAGCTACTGAATATACATACAAAATTTCATCAAAACTGTGACACGAGAATTTTATATATATAGATAATCTTTATTTCCTACAGAAAAAGGCTATCGACCCAATCGGTCTTTCTGCCGAATTTTGATTTATTTTCCTTGATTTTATACTTTTTAGGAACATAAAACGAAACGTGCTATACACATATTGATTTGAAGCGCACAAATTCTGATAAGAACAAATAAAACGACAATAATGCAATGAAATAGTAATTAATTTTTGATTTAATAGAAACTCTGAATAATTGACAATAACAATAAAACTAGTAAAAACACGCAAATAAACGAGCAAGCATGAAGACTTTTACAAATAATATACTCGCTCAATACAATACTTTGAAATAATAGATAAAATGTTTGCAACAACAATACAATAATAATAATAATATGCTATATAATAATTTTCAGTAGTGGTAAACAAGAAACATAATAAAAAAATTAAGTAGAGGAACTGACAATTCTTAATTTATAGCAGAGATTCCCATTTTTAATAAAACATTCTAATTGTTTAGGTAACAAGCTTATATATCTCTCTTTAATTTCGAAACATGATTTTCTTTCATCAGCTGGTGAACATAATGCTCGGGCAACAATACGCATATTCCTGCCGGAATTATCACAAATATCTACTTCAAGCCTAAACTTTTCAGCCTCTTTCGCTGATGCGACGATCATTGCTGCCCACATGAACGATCCTTTGAAATATCGGAAGATCACCTGCAATATTGTATAGCCAAGTTATAACTTTTGTGAAATTTATGATATAATTGTATAATAAATATATTTATAAAAAAAACTGCATGCATGGAATTATTGACGCAAAAACATTATTGATAATTATTCAATTTGGCAGACAGTAAATAAGTCAAATAAACCAAATAAATGCCGACAAAGCACTCATAATTTTTAATCATCATCACTTAATATATAGGGTGACACTTTCAAAATTTGCAATTTCAGGAACAAAAATTGGCGGAAAAAAATTTCTTTAATAACTGGGGTGAATCAAGTTTATACTCCAGCTAAGCTTTTCGCACTAATCCTTTAAATGACTACTTTTAATGTATTTTTTTAAGTTGTTCCAAAATACTTTACGACTGCATTACGTTACGTTCCACTTAATGAAGTAGTTACCAATTTATTAAAGAAAAGAGATTGTTGTTTTCAAGATAAACAAACCTTTTTAAATCGAAGTTTACATGGTGATTTTAGCAAATTTTAGCAAACTCTTCTTAGGATTCAAAAACGTTTTATTTTATTTGATTGTTGCACTGATGTTGACACTGCCGGCCCTAAGCCCGGGCAAAAGCGGAGGGTTTTTGGGTTAGGCCAGCTACCTACCCGAAGTAAAAAAAAACATATAGCTCATAGAACTGAAGACAATGCCTCGGATACAGGACGGATCAGCACGAAGGCGACCCAGGCTATGACAAGGAAAAAACGAAAATGGAAATCTAAACGCAACATCACCAGAGTCGCTTGCTGGAATATAACATCGTTGAATGGAAGAGATCAATAAATCATTACGGAAATGGAAAAGTACAACATAGACATCTGCAGGATCTCGGAAACAAAACGCAAAGGCCAAGGAACATGTAAACTTGGACCTGAAACACATACTAATCTACAGCGGAAAGGCCAAGCACGAAAGAGAGCAATCGGGGGTTGGCATTCTGCTGAATGAGAAATATGCACAAAGTATCGAAGATATAGAATATGTCAATGACAGATTACTGAGAACCTCATTGAAAATTAACCGAACCACAATACATCTTATAAGCATGTACCCCCGGATATATCCAAACCTGTTGCAGACTCAGAAGAATTCTACCGAGAACTACAGACCTCAATAGACAAAATCAGTAAGTCCCATGAAAGCGTGATACTTGGAGATCACAATGCTCGAATCGGTAATACGATACTAGCAGGCGTAAAACAAAAATACAACGAGCCCATTATCAATGAGAACGGAGAGCTTTTAACCGATCTGCGCAAGAAAAGAGATGATGATCAATAACACACATTTCCCACATAAAGATCCGCACAAGCATACGTTCAATAACTCTAGAGGCCAAAGATCAATGATCATTTCATCATCACCAACAGAACAATAACACCACCGCAAGTACTCGATGTAAGTGCTCTAACTTCAGTCAACTTTAGGAACAGATCACAATCTTATCCTATATAAGTTACTAATGGAGCAGCCACGCAGAATCAGGAAACCGCCGGTATATATAGAAAAATATAACATGGAATCAGTGGAATCAGACAGCACTTGGAAACTGTACGAAAACAAATTAACGCAAAAAATGAGTAAGATTGACTTCACAAATCAAAATGTTGAAACTTGCTGGAATGAAATAAAGAACTGCATACTCCATGCGACCGAAGAATCCATTGGCACTAAGCCATGGTTCTGTCAAGACGTGAACGACCTCGCAGAAGTAAAGCGGAAAAGCTTTCTAACATACAGGAGCCCCCTAACCCAGGAAAAACACAACGAATATATACAAATCAGGTCAACAGAGTCAACTCAAGTCGATCAAAAGAGAACATTGGGCCAAATTTACCAGCGACATGGATCATGACCTATATGGTGCCCAAAGAAAAGTGTGTAAAAACAAATAAAGGAAAAAGCAATAGAGTACAGCACACCTGCATTTATTTGCTTCGTCGACCTTACTAAGGCTTTCGACAGAGTTCGCCTGGGAGACGTCATAAAAATCCTAAAGGAAAAAGAAACCCCTGCTAACATAGTAACAACGATATGCAAACTTAACACTGGTAACAGAACGCAAATCAAGAATGGAGATAATATAACACTTAGTATACCCACCCCCGGAGGAATAAGAGGGAGATAGCCTTTTCTCCAATTCCAACCTCCTGACGCACAAAATCCCAGAGAAAGTGGGGATGGCTATTTAAGTTCTATAGAGATAGCTTTTTAAGTTCCACCAGATCAGCCAGCAACTCAATATGGACATCCATTATCCATAGGTATCCATTTATCCATAAGTAAAACGAAAACCATGACGATCGCTAGGAAATCTATGAGATGCAAGCTGGTAATAGATAATAAACCCATAGAGCAAGTCATGCAGTTTAGATACCTGGGCATAGATATGTCCAGCGCTCATAACCCGGCAAAAGACTTAAGACGGAGAAACCCAGTTAACAAATCAGCTATAATATGAGGTTGTCTAAAGGAAACTGTATGGGCTAATCCTTATATGCGAAAGGTTAGTAAGATAAAAATAGATAAGATATGTGTCAGGCCCCTAATGACATATGACACAGAAGCGAGAGAGGATATCAACAATACCAAGAGGATACTACGGAATGAATAGATCAACTAGATCTTCAACAAGTAAGAGAAAAAGATATATTTAGAGCCGATTTAATTGCTTTTAGGTCAATTATTTTTACGCGTGGAATAACAAATAGAAATATTACTTACTTGAAAAACTCTTCCAGAATATATAATTAAAAATGTTGAGGCAATTTTGCTGCGGGCATCTTCAATAGCAATCTTTACTATATCTGTTGACATTATGTTCGTGCTATGGTGGGTCTTGATATGGTAAACTGTTTTAGGCGCAGATGATCTTGTTTTGCACTGTAAGCTCTCACGCAAGGGACACTCGAAAGGCTTGTATATGCATGAATCTTCGTGAATTCGAATGTATGAATTCACTAGAATTACTCTGCAGCCCTCGTCGGTATATCTACAGGGATACATTAAAGACTGAGCACATTGTACGAGCTGCACATTTTCATTAGTACTGATTGGACTCTTACATATATGACATGTTGCCTCTACATTGCAAGTAGTACACATTTTGTGTCCAGATAAACACTGCTTAAAGGGAGGTATCATATATAAGAAACACTTCTCGCATCTGAGGTTTTCTAGCTGGTCCAGTTTAATAGGTATCTCTTTTCCGTAGTTCATATTGGGTAGTTCGCATACACGTAAGCTGTCCATGTTATCCTGCAGTAGTTCAATTACAGCCATTAGTTTCTTGGCGCCGGGAAATGTTTTGATTATTTCCTCACGATTGATCTGTGTCACTGCAGAGCCATCGCCGGAAGTGTGTTTGATAGGATGTTCGCAAACGGCAGTAGAAATATTTGTCTCAACTTTGATGAAATACTTAAAATAGTATGAATGCTTTGTTTGAGGTATGTGTTCTATAATGCAGGTAAATGTTTCACAATCTGGTACCATATGCATTCTAGCTATAAATACCTCATCTTGAAACACTATCATATATTGCAAATCAAGTTTTTTCGTAAAATCCAATGTATATCTGCTATCAATTAAGAAACAGTTTTTATGACTGCTTTCATAATGCTCTCGCAGTTCTACAGGAGAACCCTTCCATGCGCAGTTACGTGCAGCTTTTGTGGGACATTCGATCTGTCGAAATATGCATCTGTGCTCGTGCTTTGCTAACTGATCGGGAAGCATCAACACTTTGCAACCACTTTCATGGTTCCTGCATGGGAAGCGTAAAAATCTTGCAATTCCTTCATATGCGGTGTCGTGAACGTATTCTGCGATATTTATTACTGGACAACGTCCACATATGGGCTTAACCCCTTCATTGCTTATGTGTATCGGAAATACTGAGAGATAACCTTTGCATTTACAACATACCAGTTTGCGAAGTAATTCTGCTGGCATAGGAGGTTTATCTGAAATGAAGAGAAACCTTGATCAATAAATAAAACCGGTACGTAATAAGGGTAGCGACTGAAAATATTTCAACACGGTTTAGGCAAGTTTTAATAAAAAAGGTACAAACCCAAATTATGTTTTTACCAGTGAATTCACCCTTAATTTTTTACAGATAAGAAAAGGTAGGTATATTCCGGTACAACGTTTAAAAGCTATTTAACAGTACAATAGCATTCTATTTTTTAATAATTAATAAAACAGGATTTTTCCTATACAGGGTGTTCGGAGAATGAGTTAGGAATTTGTTATGGGTGTACTGCCTGGTATTTTGCAACTCCAAATGTCGCAGAAAAGAATATGCCATTTTAAACATTAGAAAATACTATACAAAAATGTGCTCTTCACACGACTCGAAAATGGGGATGGTCGGTATTTAAAATAACCGCTGAAATAACAGTGTTCCAGACGTGTAACCTGTAAGTTATACTTTGCCAATTTAACCGGTTCTTTTGGGAACCGTCTCATAAACCCGGCGAAGAAAAAGTAGTTTGCACCAGCACATCATCGATGCGACACCGTCGAGCCATTTATCCAGTTCCAGCAGTTTCAGTAACCATTTATCAACGTAAGATATTTTCAGTTACGCGAGGCGTTGATGATTGTGTTTATCACCTTTCGTTGAATTAAGAATTACTGTTCAGTTCTCCAGGAACCATAATCGGTCAGATCAGGAAAATATTGTTTAGTTTCAGTGATGATATAATTCAGCATTTTTATTCTATTAGTGTTAAGCGCGGAACTCACGTACAACGCCGTCGCACCGATTGTGTCGGTCCAACGAAATCAGATGAAATTTGAGCTGTGCTTCGGCGATCCAACCAACTTTGTCGGATCGGTCTGCAGACAAACCAGTCAGTCTGCTGCAGTTTAGCAAATTTCGGTTGGATTGAGAATTTAATTTCAGGAGTTATGTCAGCCAAGGGCGAAGGACTAGGATTGGCAGTCCGGTCATCAACCTTCAGAGGGCCCTTCGAACTCCAAATATGCAAAAATATATTTTAAATGATGAAAAAAGGCGTGAGTCACGGGACGCCCCACAAAAGTGATAACTTCCAATGATATTTTTAGAAACCATTAAATATTGAACTTGTTTAACGCAATAATAATGTTATAATTTCAACATTCATATTAGTCTGAAATTTTTCAAATGGATCATGAAAAGGTAAAAAGTAATTGGAATTGTACGAGAATTTCTTTTGAATGTAAAATGTAATTTTCTTACATAGTTCCACCATTGTGTTCGATTGCAAAAGAATCACATTTATCTGTTACAATTTACATTTTCTCCCATTATTCAATTAATGTTTTTCATCCTGTGTAAAATAAGTAATAACTTCCGCCGCGCACGCTTCTGACAGCTTGACAGTTTGTTACTGACTGCCAGATCATTATTTTGACAACATCTTCAAAGCCGATTTTCTTACAAAACTTTATACCTTCCCTGGCAATTTTTCACCGAGGATCAAGAAAAATAAAACAGAGTAAACACCCACAAGTACTTGTCAATTTTAACAAAGTATATATTATATTTGTACGCCCAGTACTTGTCCCACGATCGTGTTAAAATCGGTAGAAACCCTTAAGTACTTTTCAATTTAAACAAAATATATATTGAGTATATTTCTATTTCCAGTAATTATCCCACGATTATGTTAATATCAGTAAACCCTCCTTAGTACTTTGCTTACAAAAAAATTGTGTACCCCATATTCATTTCATATTCATCGATCGATAGTACTGCTAATGTGGATTATTTAATGAATGACTTAATAATACGAGTAAATAAATCAAATGCTATTACAAAACTGTCGTGGCCCATCAATCAGAGCAAGTTCAGTTAAAAGATATATAAGAGGAGGATTATTGAATTTTATGATATTTTGACAAACTTGTTTCATGACAAAAAACCCAGGCATATTAGTACAACTGTTCCATGCGAGAGATTAAGATCAGAGATAGAACAAAAACTCGACTTAGTAAAAAGCATAGGTACACAAAAAATCATTCTTAAATGTTAATTTATTTTTAAATGAAAATTAGCTTTTAAAAACTTTTAAAAATTAAATTAAAAACATGTTCGCATGCAGACCAGCATTTTATTTAAACCATTCGATTTTATTATCAGTTTTTTTCCTTTCAGTAGTTACTTAAGACCCATGAGTTAACTGACCGCCTATCCCCATAAACTGATGAGCCAGCAGATCATATGTCCGTTTGGAGACAATAACTACCAAGGCGATGTGCGGAGGCCAGTCAGTCAGAAGTAGGCAGTCAACGAGTAATTTTATGAACTTTTGTAATCTAACGAAATAAAATTGTTTTTTAAAAAGGACTCTCGCCGGTCTCATTAGTTAATTGATGCTTTGTTTTTATTTTAGAATATGTTATTTTTAGCTTACCACTACTAACAATTATTTTTTTAATTAAACTAAATCATTCTACCTCATCATCAGCGAATTTTTATTGGAAAATTTAAAAAGTAGCATGTTAGTTTGGGAACCGCACTTTGAAACCTAATACCAAAGTGAAGCTGCATCGTTGAACCTGTTCCAGAAAAATAACCGTTTACCACACGTCTACTCGAAACATCTCTTCCTTTAGGAGCAAGTCGACATAAAAGTATTACTTTAATCCAGTGGCTTTGTACTTAATTGAAATCGCAGCAAATCAAGTCGTCTGGTTTTAAAATGTGCCAAATTTGACAATTTATAGTAATTATTGCATTACTGTTCAATTTAGATTAAATTTTTGTGCACTAATACCACTAAAATAAAATGGATCGAGAATATTCAAATGTTACATTTAAATGCAGCGCAAAAATGTAGTCTAAATTGGATAGTAATACAATAATTACTATAAATTGCCAATATTGACACATTTTAGAACCAGGCGACTTGATTTGCTGCGATTGCAATTAAATCCAAGGACACTGGATTGAGAGACAAAAGAGACAATTAATCGAAGAAGTTTCTCGAGTCGCGTGAAAAGCACATTTTTTGTCTAGTATGTTTTAATCTTTAAAATTGCATATTACTTTTTGCGATACTTGGCGTGGCAAAAAATATGTGCGAAAAATGAAATTTGGATTTCAGGAAAACTTCCATCTAGTGGTAAAGTGAAGAAACATTTTTTTACGAGAAAGTGAAATATTACAAAGATCAAACTTTGTACCAATTTTCAACTTGACCCGCGTTCAAATGTTCAAAATAGGTAAAAAATAATGAGCTGATGATATAATATACGATAGTGAAACGTGGACAACAACGAAAAGCGAGAAAAGTAGATTACAAGCACAATAAATTAACTTTCCAAAAGGGTAAAAGGTTGCACAAAACTGGACATACTAAGAAACAGAGATATATGAATGGAATGAAATATCTTTAATATGAACGAGAGAATAAATGAAAATAAAGGTAAGTGGGCAGAAAGACCGATTGGGTCGATAGCCTTTTTCTGTAGGAAATAATTATTTATATATATATAAAGGTAAGTTGAAAGAACACTTAGAGCGGATTTACGAGAAGAGGATACCAGCCAAAGTCAGATTTTATCAAAATCAAAAGATGAGTACCGTAACAGGCAAAATGCCTAAAACCTGAAGCCAAGAAGAAAATATATTTTTAGTTAATAAAATAATTTGCAGAAACTTTATACAAAGTGACAATTTTCAATCTTGCAAGGCACATTTTTCCATATAGAAATTATGTACAATGGAAACTGTACCAGACTTTTAAGATATAACTAGACTTTTATAGTGCTTGACATTGCTTAGCTGGCGTCCAGACTTAATTTTTGACTCGAAACCTTACAAAAAAACAACTTTTTAGGTCGTTGAAATCACCTTTTAAATCGTGGTGCTGAGTTTTGAATGTCCTGGTAAGTTAGATTTTATTTAAATATTTTATATTGACTCCGTTTCTTCTGACTTTGAAAAAAATATTTTTTAATTCTTTATTTGTTCATAATTCAGATATCAAAATAAGAAAAGTACTGAAAAGAAAAGTTAATGATCTAAATGGAATCAGTCTGCAGGCAAGAATAACTGATAAAACTACGGGAACTTATGCTACTTTCACTAAAGCAGAAAAAAAATGAATGAGGAAATTTTGAAGCTGTGGAACTTATTTTCAGTATGTATAACTCTAGATAATCGTTTGATTATTATGACTCATTTAAACATTTGAGTTTTGAGAATTAATGACTAGCTTACCCGACTGAAAATCTCGTAGAGGCCACATGATAAATTATTTTCAATTGACGATTTACTACCAATGGATTTCGTTCTCGTACATCGATGGAACTGTTCCGGAATTTTGAACCTTTTTTACATGATCAATTTTTTTTGAACATTTAATGCTGCGTTGCCACAGTGAAATATACGAACATTCAATTTATCATATCTGCGTATTAAGTACTGTATAAATTTAGGAAGCAATATTCTGGGCTATTTCTATAACTACCCCAACCTTTATTTGGAGCTTTGAAATATTTTAAACGTTTAAAGTTGCAAAATTGGTGCATTTTGATAGCAATTTTCAACCAAAAATTGCATATTTCTGCATCCAAATCCTTGCCACCAAAGGCAAATACCTTTGAAGAAGTACAGCAGAAAGTTGCCAATAATTTGCTGTTGTAATATTAAAACATAAAGTAAAGAAACTTTCACCTTTAGAAGACATTTGAACAGTTGTTTTTATAATGTACAATTTCGGGAAAATTTGTACTGCGATTAATCTAAGAGATTTTAAAACGCATAGTAACCGTGTGCATTATTAAAATCTTAATTGTATGTTTTTCCACAATGCTGTATAGCATATATACAATAGATAGGGGAGAAGCTTGTACCTTGGACTAGATTTTTTCAAGATCAAATTTTTAACACATTTTCACGTTTTTAGGAATATTTTCAAGATTTTTCGAAGATTGGGTAAGACGTATTGGCTTACTTATAGCTTATGCATGGTAAAACATTATATTAGAAAGCTATTAGAAAAACACAATGGAAACATTTTTCGTGCTTTTTATTTGGTCAATTCCATTTTGTCCAAGATACAAACCCCTAGTGTGTCACTATCCACTTAGTAGTTTTTGAGATCTAAATCCAAAATACATATTATTTTTGTTATTCGAACAATTCAGCTAGGTCGGTGCTGGTATTTTGACCAAACAGTATTCACTATCAATGGAAATTTTTCAACTTGCAGTTGTTTTCGAAACTAAAATTTTGCTTCCGGTCATAACGAGTCGTGCCTAAACCATGTAAAATATATATGATTTAAACGCAACTAACAAATCAGACATTTTCACTTTTATGTTCGATGTAAAATCCTCTTCAGCGTCTAATCTCTTGTTGTCTTTTCAAGCCTATTTTTTTTATATTTAAAAATCACTGTTTTTCAGGCCCACATTTGCTTTAGCCAGAAGCAGGAATATTTTTATGCCTTTAGAAAGTCGAATTGCAAAGATCTCGATGAGACAGGAAATAATACTCTGTAAGATTCAACAAGGATGGACTCTTTTCGTCCGCATGGACTCTTTTCTTCCGCTTCCGAAAACATTTTCCTAACAGCCACTTTTCTAATATCTATATCCATAAAATGTAAACATATGAGTAGGAAAGTTAAGACTTGGATTGTGCGTTGAACCATGGCTCAACGTTCAACGCTCAACCTGCTATATCAAATTAAACAAATTCTTTTTCTGTTCTAAACGATGCAGGAATATAGACGAAAAACACCCCCAGAACAAATTGTCAACATACACAACTTGAATGAAAGACATGTGAGCATTCTATTGATGAACTGCGTAAATAAATAAAAAACCAAAAAATCACATTAAAATATTTCCCCTTGGGGGTGCGGAAAAGCATACATTACAAGTCAACAGTTGACTAACAACAATGACTAAATGACGATGCACGCATGGACCCAGGACGTATCTACTAACAATCCCAGTCTGCTTAGAATTTTATAATTCATATAAAATTATATGAATCGATCAAGGTACAAGATGATTTAAGGGACAAACTTATCCTCTAAATGAGGGGATCCTATTATTGTTTGGTTACTTATAGAGGGAAATTGGAATGGTGCCATTTATGCCAAAATGTTTGGAAATAAGTCTGTATTATTCAGGTAGCAGAGAACCAGATAACCCATTAAGGAATTATGTTTTAAGCAAAGGCAAAAAAATTACTAAATTTTCAACAAGACTCTCATTATTATGTACTCCCAGCTAGACAATGGCAAGGTGATAATTATTTAGGTAAATGAATTAGGAGACGGCCACCAGGATACCCAGATCTACCGGTACTTGCATTGCTCCTGTGGACACACCTAAAATATGTTGTTTTTAAAATAAATTCTTCCGGATTTAGTTGAGCAATTTGAAAAACAGACTAATTCAAGCATGCTAAAAAAGCAGTGCAAATTTTGCTAATGCTTATAAAAAATAACGTTATTTAAGCATTTTTGAAAAAGTAGTTGGAAAAAGTAGTTTAGTTAATTTAAAATTGTCACCTGTGTAACACATTAAAAAAATTGAAGAAAAAATTTTGGACTGATAATCGTGATTAGTCTCAAACTGAACTGAAAAATCGATAAATTGCTAAAAAGTGGCAACTGTGACCCGTAATATTTCCATTCACTATCAAATCCTCCAACTATTTGCAGTTCGCTTCTAGTTCGACATCTGGGAGCAAATATTTTTATAAAATCAAACAATCATCCTTTACTATGGATCACTGGCATATATTTCTGGCAGAGCAATCTGGATTATATAATATGGAAAATATAATAAGAACTTAATTCGCACACGAAATTTATGTCCAAAACTAATATTTAACCTAAAGTAAATACTATTTTAGGATTTTTTCAGCAATATATTTGCTAATTATCCTGATGCTGTCTGTAGCAAACTGAATTGTTTATTTTACTCAAATTATTTTAAGTAAATCACCTTCCAAGTGTTTATTAATATGGACACTTAAGAATTTAGTTTTTCATCACCTAGTTCCAATTTACCGGTTTGAGACAGTTTTTCGTAGGCAATCAGCAGTTATTTGTCTAAAATGACTTAATCAAAGAATCGGTTTTAATTATTAATATTATTAAATATAAGCTTTAACTTTCTTTAAAAAACAGGTCTGTACATGTTATGAAGTGAAGGATGCACCATGATTTAGAAACAAAACAAAATGGGACTCTACATAGAAAACAGGTAATTTATATTCATAATGTAGAGAAACTGAAATCTAAAAAATTATTTAAGTTCGAACGATAATAATAATAATTCCCTGTTTTCTTTGTGAATCTCTTCGATTTTACTGTCTTTGCATTATTTTGGCGGTTCAGTTATAAATCATATTCCTACTGCGATAACGCAGTATATAAATATACCTTTAAATAATCTGATTTCAGTGGCTGTGAAGATGATCGATTATGTCGAAAGCGCACAGTTCCGACCCCTAAACCTGAGAGTAAATTATTGCACATGTTAAATACACTGTTGAATCTTCATTCCAAATTTGGTGTTATACTTAATTTTTTATCGAAATGATGTGCATCCCATCTCAAGTTGCAAAGTAGATCATCAGCTTTTAATAGCTCAATCGGTATATAACTGACCTACAATTAATATTAGCCAACAATGACTTAAATTGTGAGTAATTCTGTACAATAAAAAAGCGAATGCATCCCAACCAAATTGAATTTGCAGAAATTAGAGTATGTGCAGAAGTATTGATTGCATGACTTGAACGCTAGTTTAGTAGTGCAGTAGTGCAAACGAGTGCAGTTTCTGCAAAATTGGGTCAGTTTGCCAGTGCTTGCTGTTAGTTTCGCTCATAGTAAAAATCGGCGCAGTTTCGAAAATATGCAAATTAAGTTCCACAGTGATTCAAAAATGTTTACTCAATGCTGGATTACAACGTTTAAGTGTTGTGATTTTCGATGTTGGAAGTGTTATGGATAATGTGAATAAGTTTCCTTAAAATTTCACCTCACATAATTAAACTTATTTCAAATCACTGTAGCACTTCTAGGTTCTAGTCGGAATGGCTTCATGGGACCCACATTTTTCCCCGCATTTTTTTCTACGTATGTAGTGTAAACGTTTTATTTGACATTATTTTCAAAATATGTTTGGTCGGTATTTGGAAACATATTTGGGGATTAAACTTTAAAATATTTGGACATTCTCATGGATTTTGTTGTAACACATTTGCATTTGTATTCTGAAATAACTAATTCAGTTTTTATGCAACAGTTACTTCACTTGATATGGAATTGGCAACTTCTGGATTGACAAATTTGCAAAACCTGTTGCACTTTCTGTTTGTTCAATGTGCATATAGAGTTCCGTTTTTCGTGGCCATTACTTAAAACTGGTGAGTTTTTCAGGCCGTCCTGGAAAATTATTTTTTTCTAACGTTTGGCACGCACGCACTCTGGCTTTCAACTTCGCAAGTGTTTTTGCTTCTGAACGGTCGATAGAAATTATTCTTTTAAATTATAAAAGCCCACAAAGCCCAATCGTTTCAATGTGCCTATATGATTCCAATAAAAAGAAAGATGAAATAAGAAATTTATTAACAATCTCGGCTTACATTTCAAGTGTTTTCAGTCTTTGCCCTTCCACTATAGTAAAATATTCGGCTAAACTGAGCTCTCGTAAATACTTTCCTTTTGTTCGCAAATGCCAATGAATATGAATTTCAGCAGAAAAACCAAATATCCAAATTACAATTCATATAATTCAAACAACATACACGTCACTCGTTTTGCAATTATGCATATTCGGATTAATTAAGGAAATGGGAGAAGCGTGTAATAATTTTATTAAAATTTTCCGGCTTGAAACAGTCTCCGGCTAAAAGGGGATAAATGACGCTCCAGAATTTGCATATGTCACTTGGAGAAGTGTTGATTGAAATTACTTGTATCTCATTGAAACGTTAGCCTGAAACTCTCTGAATTGTTCATAGCATTTTAAAATGATTATTTAACTCAGTTCACTATTTAAGTAAAACTTTGATAATAATAGTTAAAGCTTTATTTTTCGAATACATTCATCTAATGTGGCCTGAATATTACATGAATACAGCAAAAGGAAAGAAAAAAGTCATTATGAACATTAATATTTCAATAATGTTTGGTGGAAACTAAATACTCCTAAGACAGAAAACTGATATGGCGCTTCTTGATGTGTAAATTACGTGTGTGAAACAAATGTTTCTATCAAATATACTGACCAGATTTCTCAGATTCCACAGTTTCCAAGAATGTGTAACTCTTGTTGCATGCCTTGTGAATTAATCCATTTTAGA